TTTCTATTTTCTACGGGTTTATTGACTCCGCCAGTGATTAATGCCTACCGACTTTACTATTTATATAAGAAGCAGCAGGGAGTCTCTAAGAAGGATCTGCCTTCTCATATAAGCTTTCATGAGAAGCTTTATCAACAGCTCTTTGAATTTGCATCTAAGATTCATGACAACCTCTCTATCAAATGATCAAATAGAGATCTAAATCACCAATGAATTTCACTGCCAAAACACCTAGTTTGTGCCTGGTGTCAGTATAAATGAAAGATAGGACAGCAGAAAGGATTAAAAGCAAATCAATCAAATTCTGATTGCTCAGCTTGTCAAAATACACCTCTCTGTTTGAAAACTTGATGTTGGGAGGAATTTCATGAGATGGCCCAATCTGGCAGTGACGCCGCGAATCCTTAATTAGGGTTTATAAAATACACTAATACCAAGTAATACCGAAAAATACCTTAGCTGCTCAATAAGATCTCGTATAATATACACTATCGAAACCACGCTAATTTGCACAAAACCTACCGACGAGGGGATAGGGTGCTTATACATGCTAGCACCTGCCAAGGCCCCCGGCACTTAGGGGGCGGCCCCAACAACAGGGAATGATTAAAAACCATCCGATTGGTTGCCTCATCAGAGGGGTAGTAGCAAACCAAACAGGACACCCTGGTAGGCGCCCTATCTCCAAGGCCTACTAGTGGTCATCTAACACTATTAGTGGGTAAAACATTGGGTGGGGTAAGCCTATGGTTAGTCCCTTACACGGGGCAAGGCCACGACGGCTGGTTGGTAGGCCAAGGGGGCAATGGGCTGAGATCGGCAACTGGAAGCCCTAGGCTATGGTGATGCCTAGAGTGGGCGGTGGCGCTTAACTAGGACCCCCAGCTGGAAGAGCCAAAACTAGTTAAAGCGGCCCGAGAGGACGGACGCGGTGGTCGGTTGGTTATAGGGGTTATAATATGTAACTAGCTTAAGGTGCATCCTGCGTGGAATAGCCACGTAGTCAAAGTTGCAAGTGCTGAAAGAATCTTAAACAGTATTTTAAGACTTTCAAATACTGAGAGAGGCTTGTTTTTGAAAGCAATGAGACAATTATATATTGCTTGTATAACCTCTGTTTCAGACTTTGCAGTTCAAATATGGTGGAAAAATCAAAAGAGTTTTGTAGAGAGGTTTCAAAAGCTTCAAAATTCAGCTTTAAGAAAAATATTGGGGGTATTTAAAACCTCTTCAATTAAAGCCATGGAGATTGAAGCCTCTCTATCACCACCACAAGTGAGATTTGATAAAATCTGTATGAATTATTCTCTCAAAATTATGAAGTTATATCCCAATCATTCAATTAGAAAAAGAGTCTCAACTTCTTTTCCAAGTGAATCAACTGGAGTAGATCTAAATTGGGAGTTATATTTTGATTGAAATGAAATAAATTCATCTGATAATTCAACATCTGTGCAAAGAAAGAAGATACCATCTCAGTTATTTAGAATTTGCTCCATGATTAAAAACAGTTTCTCTAGTTTAAATGTGGAGAAAGTGGTCTTTGAAAATCTCTCTCCTTGGAAGAAAGATCTTGTCAGTCTTATTGATTTAAATATTAGTCAACTTTCAAAAGAAGTTCAGACTGAACAACATCTAAATCTTCTAAAACAAATGAGAAATAAAGCAATTCTTATATACACTGATGGCTCAAAATGTGAGAAAACAGGCAATCTTGAAGCTGGAATAGCATATTCAGAAAATGATAAAAACTATATTCTTGATTCTTACCAAATTGGAAAAGAGTCAGAAGTTTTTAATAATGAATTATTTGCAATTTCAAGAGCTTCAAATTGGTTGAGATGAAGATTGAACAATGGAAAAGATTTGAGCATATTTGGATATTCTCTGATAGTCAAGCTGGGCTTAAAAGACTTCAAAGTAATAAAATCAGCAGTGGACAGTCAATGCTAAAGCTGATTTTGAAATGTCTTCAAAATATTCAAAGAAAAATCTTATTCAATTGATCTATTCATTTTCACTGGGTGCCTGCTCACATGGGTATATATGGCAATGAAATGGCTGATAAAGCTGCAAAAAAGGCAACTGAATTGAAAGACTTCTTTCAAAGAATTGTAACATGAGCTTTTGTTAAAATAGAATAGAATGAATAGTTGTAATTGCTTGTTTTGCTCAGGCCTTCCTATACGGGCAGTTGCAGCAACGCGGGCGGCCACGTGGCATCACGTGAGCGTAACTTCTCATTGACCAATCAGAGCGCAGGGATTCAGCCAATCAGAGCGCGAGAATGCTTTCCTAATCCGGATGACCGAAAGAGGAAATTTTCTGGCACGAAAAGCCTATATATATTGCTTCACTCGCTACGCTCGCTCCGCAAATAAAATTGTATAGCCAGAAGTTTTGTTCCTCCTGGCCTGATTGGGACTTCGGCCCTCGGGTTGACCCTTGGTGAACGGAACGGATTATCTTGCTTCCGGGCATATTTTGAAACAATGATGAGACGCTGGACAGAGATTTGCAGGGTAGAAAAAGGGTTCTAGTTGGTTGTATCGTATGTACTACTGTCTAATCATATAATATCACCAGCATGTCCATGCAATGCTACCCAAAGCGCCCCTACACCATTCACAGGCTTGCGTAGGATAATGTATCCACCATTCTGGATTGCACGTTAATGCGGTGAGCTTTCCTGATGACAAACAGCACAGCTAGGCTTAAAGGTAATGCGAACAAATAGGAAATATCATTGCTAGGATTTGATTTTATTAGAAAGTACATTTTGAGGTATGTAGGGTGACCAGGCTACGCTTTCGATCGCTGAGCTAAAAAGCGGGCACCTTGCACTGATGCTCATTGGAAATATCCAAAGAGGCCCTTCGCCAAGAGGCGAATACAGCAGTCTATTCAACTTAGCTGAATATCAACATACAAATTAATATACAATATAAATAGTGATGAAGACTGCAGTCTATTCAACTTAGCTGGATATCAACATACAAATTAATATACAGTATATAAAATTCTGCTATTGCTTTGTATGTTTTTTAATTGAGAACTTCATCATCAATGACTCTAATTATGACATTGCATTTTAGAGCAACATCTTGAGAAGGGGAATGTTGATCAGTGCTTTTTTTTTTTTTTTTTTGAGTTTGATTTATCCACACAGAGGTAGACTAAATCTGATTGAAGAGTATTTTGATTCAAAATATGTAACTTGATTTATTTTTAGAGTTAAGTTCTGGAATGCCTTTCAAATTCTACACTATTCTCCTTTTTTTGACATTGAAACAATGCTAAAGAACAATAAATTTTTGAACAGTTATAGATCAGAATCAATAAGCTTATCAACACAAAATAGATTCTTATCTCAAAATATCTTGATTTAAGATTTGTCAGAAAGATATGGCTCAAAAAAGTCATACTCGCTTGTGTTCTCATCATCCGGATCGATAGTATCTCCCTTTACCCAACGATCCAATTATCCTTGTTGCTTAGGGGACACTATAAATCGCTCCTTGAAAACCTCTCGCACCGCGATCCTTGTGCTCGGTCTGAAGGTACCTAGATTTGAGACAATGAATAGCACAGCGTTGTATACCTTGTCAAAATCTCTCTTCTCATCACTGAATTCGTTGCGTATGAGGAATAGAAGGCGAAATGCCGCGTCTCGTGCTCTGGATTTATCGCCCTGCCTATGTTTGTATTTGGTACAAGTCAGTCGGCACAGGTCAATCTATGCCGACCCATATTTGGGTAACTGTACCAGCTCACATAAGCCCCCCGTGATCGCTACAATTCGATTGAATTAAACTATGTGGGTCCGAGCCAACAACGCCAGATCGCCGGATCGCCGGATCGCCAAATTCTTGAGAAAACACTTACTGTATGAATAAAATGATTCTCTTTAATTGCTGTGTGACTCAGTTAACTCGGCATGAGATATTTCTAGACACATGAAGCTACTCGATTTGAGTGAGTCTCAAGTCCCCGTGTTTCACAAACTATCTGAGATACGAAGAATAAATAATAAGTCGATCCATCTTGGCACAATCTGAGCAGGTGCATAAGCTTGTAGTATGTAGATAGTTGCTCACATGGGCACCTTTTGCAATTTAGGCAGAGCGGGGATAACAGTCTCTCTTCTCTCTTGGTGATGTTACAGGGCCAGAAGCTCACACCACCTGTCCAATCAAGTCTCCAAGAAAGAGGGCCTGTGACTCACATCAGGATGTGAAAGAGGCCCAGCTGGTACCACTCTGCATGAATTTGTGACGTGTCACCACGGCGAAGAGTCTCTCCTCCTGGTGCGGGTTAGCATGTATTCTCCCAACTGGAATGGAAACCACCAAGACTTTTCTTGCTCCATTCCTGGCGCAGCGCCCTTACTTTGAACAGAGCAACCCTGGTCCCGTCTGGGGACATGAATACAGAATCCTGCCTCAGTCTACGCGCCAGCTCGAAACATGACACGACTTGTTCAACACAGCGAGGATAGCTATGAGTGTGCAGTTTGCTCAAAGGACTTCAGGACGCAAGATGGCCTCATAAATCATTGCAGAATGAGCAAGTGTCATACGTGGTGTGAAAGATGTCAGTGGGTGTTTCGATCTGAAGAACAGAAGAAAACTCATCTACGGGATTCTAATTCCCATCACATTTGTTCAAAGTGCAGAGATCACCCGGACTTTCTCACTTCGAATGAGTTACAACGACATCTCCAAACACAACACAACATGTGCTCCATATGCGGTGGTTTTCTCGACAATGAAAATAATTTAAGGATGGTCCGTGTGACATCTCACCTCCAAATCATCGATGGAAGTGACTTACTGATGAGTTTACAACAGCACAAACGGAGCCATGAGCCTAGGAACCTGGAGTGTTTCGGATGCGACTATACATTTGCCTCATTTTCGGCAATGTTGCTTCACTTGGAGTCGGGCACTTGCGCCTCCGGCGTGGATGTCGATTATATTGACGAGCTCGCTTTCGAATGCTACCAAAGCCCCAAATACTCAGATAATGTGAACGATGACTTCCCATTCTTCTGTCTGATCTGTGGTTCTGAATTTGGCTCCCTTTCGGGGTTGTTTCAGCATTCTGAAACGACATTGAATTGTCGAAGCAATACGACTGATCGAGGATGCCTTGCAAAGCTGAGGCATTTTATGCGAATGAGACTGACATAAATGTGACTGTGTTTCTTCGGCTTTCGTTCAATTTCTTCCATGTTTAATTGCTTCGCTCCTTTTTCTCTTTTTTTGTTGGAACTAGAAGTCAGTGGCGATCTTTTTTGGCTACTGGTAGCATTCACCATAAGCAAAGAAGTAATTCGAATGAGCAAGCTTCATAACAATGACCCCGACCTCAAGAGCCTGAGGATGCTGAAGGATACTCGGCCTTTTGAAGCTGTTGAACTTAGTCGGATCAAAATGAGGATGCATGAGCGGAAAATTATTTCACATCACGACTATGAGCCTAATGATTATAGGCTTCTCCATAGCAAAATAACTGAAATCGTCTCCGTATATACTAGAGCCGATGGATAGGCAGCCCTTTTACCGTTTATCTCAGCACCCCGCTTCTCTGGTGTCCGGGTTCCCTGTAATGAGCAAAGACATGTCCGCATAGCGGTTTATCGAGAATTCCAGTTTGGCAAATTGGCCGTTTTCACAAGGGTTTTGGAGATGGTGGGGATTCCAGAGGTACAATAAGTGTTCCAGGCTGCTGCCTGAAGACCCCCATGTCAGTTGTTGGGCGACAAAACAGCTCATTTATGATCTATCACATCGTGGCACACAAGGCTCCTTCGAGTTGGCAAGTTCCCGAGTGAAAAGCGCCACTCAGATAATTCATTGTGGCATCTTGAAAGAAAAAGAGTCTTTGCTGGGTCCATGAAACTATGAAATCACCACAGCGCTTGTGGGCATCCTTTTTTATTGTTCTATTTTCTTTTCCTCTGTACCTACCCATATCGAGGGCAATGTCTATATCATTCTATATTTGATGGAGGGTCGACAGCAAACTTGATTTGCCCGGCATAATCAAATCCTGGCTAAGCACTTTCAGCTTAGTTACAGCAAATGATTGGTGTACAGGACGGTTGAGTATGAACGTGATTGTATTTCCCAATGAGAGCACTGGGTTGTGCGGCCTTTCAAGACAGCGTTAGGCTTATAAGATGCTCCGCGGCTCTCCTCAAGAGCAGGAGAACTACTTATGTATGTACCATCTTTAGTCATCCAAAATTCAGTTGCAGCCATGGCCAACAACCAGGCTCTTTTAAGCTACCTAATGGTGGCACCTCCTGCTCTTCCTATCCAAAATACCAACAAGACACCCAATACGACAAACCCAAACTATAGCTGGGGGGATATCAATAATGTTGGTCAGTGGGCGGGATTCACATACGCTCATATCATGCAGCGCTATGGGACCCTGCTTCAGCAAGCACAAATTGAGAGCGAACCAATGCCAAACTCCCCCCCACAGCCTATAAACACCGAGCCGATGTTCGCTCTCCGTTTCAACACCTACATCCAAAGTCGATTGCGTCGTGCGCTGCGAGCTGGCTTCCAGCCCCTTGCACCTCAGCTTGCAAATCTGCATCTTACTCCTATTACGGTTGATATCGGTGACGCAGCAACTATCATCGACAACTACTGACCAGACATTGCTTTTTTCCAAGCTGATATCCCACTGAATTCCTCACCAAATCGCTGTCCTGGTGATCTAAAAGTATCATGGAAGTGGGAATCTGGGTATAGGACGTCTTTGGTGCCAGCAGATCGCAGGGAGTATTTGCAAGTCCTGTCTCAGGTAAACTATTACATGGGACAGCATCGTGCACGGTACGGTTTTGTCTTGTCAGACACTGAGTTGGTACCGATTAAAAGGCTTGACGAGAATGGCAACCTACTGGTCGTACAGGCTATACCATGGGAAGCAAAAGGGCCTGGGCGTTTGACTATTCTGCTGGGACTTTGGTATCTTGGGATGTTAGGCGCGGCGGATAATGACTGGCGGCTTCTATAATGCAGTCCTTTTTGTGTGTGTGCCCCAGCGCAGGCTAAGGAGTCGTTCCTATTAGTATTTTGTGTTAGGCGGCAGTCCCTTTTTTTGATCTTCTTCCTATAAAACTTGTCAGTCTCTGTCAAATCAGGAAAATAGAGGAATGTATTGTCTGCGGAGATGAACAAGTAGCCGTCCGAAGCTTTCAACAACTTCGGTTTCAAACTCAATCCGGCCACGTCCCTTCTTTTCAATGTATGTGTCGTTGGGATAAACAATCGCAACATCAAAATCAACCCATATAACCCTCTCTTGATCACCAGGAACAATGAGAATATTTTTTGGGTAAGGATCATTATGCTCGACTAAAGCCAGATGAATTTGCTGAATGCCAATCACAGCTTTCTGCATACGTTCTGTTGTATAAGTAACGCAGTTCATTACCAAAGGATTTGGCAGGTACTCGATTAGAATGGCACATGGAAAATCTGTGTCATGTCGAAAGGCATCTAGATAAGGAGCACAGTTGGCTGGGTCGATAGCTAGCATAAAACCATAGAAATTAGGCACAGCGCCAGAATCACATATTTTGGACCGTTTAAGCCTGCAATAGGCTCTGATCTCGCAGCGAGAGCGGTCCAAATCTCGAATACGATCGCAGGCGTACCCAGGATCCCCATTATTGTGGAACTGCGTTGCATCATGATCAGGAAAAATGACACAGGTTAAGGAATGCACGCTTGCTAAACGGAGGTACGTACCACTTTCAAGACCCGTGGCTTGCCACAGTAGTTGACATGAAATATGGAGGACGCTTCTGAGACGTTTAGGGTTTCCTCAAATTCTATCTTCGCAAAATCGATGTCGAGCTTGAAATTGTCATCGAATCCTGCCTCGTCACGGTATATGGTGCACTCCTTCCCGATTGACCCGAAAAAAGTGTCTGACATGGATGAAAAGAAAGTGGAGATAGTGCAGCACCGTTTATATGGATTATATGTAACTGAGTGGTAGCTGCTCGTATGGTCAAATTAATATGCGAGACTTGATGTTCGCTGATGTTGGGTCACTGCTGAGACTATATATCGTTGGGCACGTGATTTGTCCGTCGGGATGCCAATATGGCCGAATAGTTGGCCCCTAGGCTTCCTATTACGGACTAGCCCACCACACATAGAACCTCAGCTGCCATACAAGCAACTTATGCTTAGTCATTAGCACGTGATCGGGATAGCAACGCGTAACCTCGGGTGACTCAGCAAAAGCTTTTAACATCTTGCTCGAAATTTTCCAGCATGGAGAGATATTCTTGATTATTAAAATGAGCGACAGCCAATTTAAGTATTGTATGGGCTGACTGATATCTAACCCAATCATAGAACTGTTGTAAAAACTAGTGACAGTTGTGTGCATATTCTAGTTGTTCTTCTATCTATCTATATTCTAATCTGTAGAAGAGGCAGAATGCGCATGGACGCCCATAAAGCACTCCTTAGAGCCGGAGCCAGGTCTCTTGATGATCTGACCCAGGAACTGTAACTCCAGGAACTCTCCCTGAGAATATGACGCCCAGATCATATAATGAGTGAATGCTAGGCACTGGTTTATTTTCAGTCCGAAAACTAATGGAATGTGAGCCGAGACGATGATCAACCGCCGTGCCAAAAGGGTTATCTTATGACAAGCTACATGTATCTATAACTTTATAGATGATAGATGGTTCTGAATATCAAAATGTTTCAATTGCAAGTAGTGCTGTTTGTTATGGCTTCCTAACATTTATACAGCCATAGCTCTTGGAATTCTCTACCTCTTCCTTGGCGCTTTCTATACTGTTTTTACCCATAATTACGATTTCGAACTACATCAGGTCGGTCTATCATTTCTCGGTTTACTTCTCGGAATGATAACCTCTGCTGCCACCCATCCTTTTTGGGACTGGAACTATCGGCGACTTGTGCGTCAACGGGAGGCAAACGGAGGAGTGCCAGGGGAGAGTGAGCCAGAATACAGGCTACCCCTTGCAATTGCTTTCCAATTATCGGCAGTGGGTTCTTCAGCGCTGGGTACGTCAGATCTACGTTAGCTGGCGATTCTTGGCAGTAACTAATGAAATAAACCAGTGTCGTCCTCTCATACAACGGGATTCTGACCTTTCTTGTACATGCATATCCACTTTATTCAGCAAGTGCTATGGGTGCAAACCTGATTTTAAGAAGCATTTTTGCAGCCGCGTTCCCAATATTTGGTGTTCGGTGTAAGTCGCGTTCATACTCTCCAAATACTTTCGTCAATCAGGTTTTGGCCCGTGGCGCGGCTAACTTCTGTATGCCCCAAAAATATTTAGTATACGAAAAGCTGGGATATCAGTGGGCAACATCGCTTCTAGGGTTTTTCACTGTTGCAATGATGCCATTCCCATGAGTAACGGTTAAGATTCTTCCTTGCGTTGGATCCCGCATAGTGCTAACATCTTGCTAGGTATTTATTTTATAGATATGGAGCACAACTCCGGGCAAAGAGCCATTGGGCATCAAGTGGTCATTCTAAAAAATGACAAGCCATGATAGATCTGGAGAGCTTGTTGGAGTTTTGTCTTTCCGTTTTCGAGCAATTGGTAGTAATATGGCGTCCTTTTTTGTCTTGGTTTCCCCCTTTTTCAGCACGATATATACCTTCTTTTGAGACATAAAATCATCCCGCAAAATTTAGCTGAAGCTCCTGCTGTATTGGACCCCTTTTCCTCTTGTAACCGTGCACTTTAAACTCAATCCTCGTGAAAATTGATTTCTTGCGAAATTGTAGGAATCCTCATTAACTAGTTTCAGGTTGTAACCCGGGATACGTGGGTACTCATCACGCTCCGGGCTACCACGCTCACCCCTCCCCTCTCCCTCGCCCCCCCCCCTTTTTTTTTTGAGATTGCTTGTTTAGGGAGATACAGTTCAGCAGACAATGACATTGTCAAAGAGATGCGTTGGGTGACCGAGGCTGTCGCTCCTGGAATATTGCTTGACATGCCGGCAGTGGACGTGATATCTGAAATGTTATCTCTGCCTTTGATACACGGTTCTGGTCTCCACAGGGCCAATGCGCCGCGTTAATTGCTTGAACAAGAGAACATGTAAATATTGATGGAGGGATGAGGGTTTACTACTCGGCTGCTTGAGATGAATTTCTACCACCAACATGACTCCGTCAGCTGGTGACGCGGACAAGATTTGAAATCAGGAGATCTGAAATCGGGAGATTTGAAATCGGGATATGGAACTTGTGAAATCCCACCATTGATTTTTTCAGCTCGCGGCCTCCCGGTGCAATTTTTAACCCCTTGTGGGATGGTTGAAGCTTCTATTAGGAGGAGCTAGCCAGGTTAGTATTGTATTACAGAACATAGGAGATCGCTACAGCAGGGCAACGCCACTAAGGCGGACGCTGCTACACCCTTGGACATCTAACCTCTGTACATGACACTGCTGAAGCAGGCCTCAACTCCTTATAGATGAGCCGAGCTGCCTCTCAGACACCCACATGAAGGATTCACATTTTTAGAGTCTTGTAAAAAGGCAGAGCAGTGTGACAAGCCAAACTCCACCATACCATGCAAATTGCCATCACAGGCGCTGGTGCTCTCAGGCACCATATTCTACACACAATTCTCACAGAAGGGAAACATTTCATGATCATCTTGACAAGAGGAGAGCCCATCAGTAACTTTTTCTGAATGAAAAATGCCTATTTCTCTTTAAGTTGTAAGACCTCTCTAGACAGACTACCCCATGTCCTCAGTGCTCTAGTTATTGTAGCAGCTGCCATATAATGTCGCTGACAGTTCACATATCAGCACTCTACCGACCCACACATCACATGGTGTAAAATCGACTATAGTGACAAGTCCTCACTGGAGGTGGCGCTCTGTGGTATCGATACATGTATATCAACCGCAGCAGGCTTCGGCGACCAAACATTTGCAGAGGGCCAGATAAGATTGGTCGATGCATGTATTGCAGTAAGTGTTCACTGATTCATGCCATCAGAGTTTGAGTTCAATCCACACACCCACAAAGATCACTACCCTTCTTCGGTTGTGAAATGGAAAGTACTATCCCACCTTGCCACGCCGGCAGTTTGGGAGAAGATTCAATGCACACTATTTACACAGGGGGTCTTCTATGATTATTACTCGCTGATGACTGAGGATGGAAAGAGGCATGAGAGTAGTGAATCACTGGTGTTGATTGAGTTTGATATAATGGTTGATCTGAGGAACTGTCGCGCGGAACTTGTGGATGGGATGGAGGAGAAGAGAATGCAGCTCACAGCGATTGATGATGTTGAGAAGTTTGTGGCCAAGGCTTTGAAGCTGGAGGAGTGGCCGGATCAGTTTATGATGTCTGAGGAGAATCTTACTTGCAAGGAACTTATTGAGATTTGTGAGAAAGTGAGAGGTATGTATGAAAGGTTTGAATTGCGAGAATCCTGAATCCTTGAGCCCACCACCCTGTGAGGGGAAGTTATTATTATGTATCGCATATTCACGAAAATCGAATTAGGAAAACCATTCGAAATCGAATGGATATCAGTTGCAGATATGGAAAGCAAAATAGAAGAGGCAGAGAAAGTGAATGATGTGCTCAGAACATTCATCTGGACGACACCCCTTCGTATCCTCGAGGGAGACTTTTGATGGGACGACAAAACTACACAGGGAGTAGATATCAAAACCGTTTTTCCAGATGAGAAATTTGAATCCCTGGAAGGATTTTTGTCGAAATGGTGGTGATTCGATTCAACGTTGTGTCGCGCAGCTTCGAGTCATATTGTTCAGTGATCCTTCGCTTTGATGAATCGCAGTCTTCCGCCTGATGCTAAGGATTCGGGCTAGTCACAGTATGTCAATCGAATTATTTAACAAAGGTAGTAGAATAGATTATAAAAGATGCATATTCAAATGTCTAATTTAGAGCCATTCTATTATTTCCTCAGCTCTAGTAACCTGCCTTTTTTAACGTGAATATTTTCCGTTTTTATCTAAATAAATGTGTAGGAAAGAGAGAGTGGAGTTTGGGGACTCAGAGTTGAGAGGGAGTTGAACGAAATGGTCAGTAACGTAAAGGCCGTTTACCAAACAAGTATTACCTGTTCTACAACAAGCTTGCTAATCATATCATCTCCTGGATTTTCAAGTCGTTTATCAGCCAAGTTGCCGATGTAGTCCAGGAGCTCTCTGTCATCATTTTGCGTCTAGTCAGCACAGTTGACAACCAGATACCAGAAAGGTAGAACTCACTTATTAGCATTAGCTGCAGCTGCAGCGGTGGAACTTCCATTGCTACCGACGGCGTTACAATGGGTGAGTTCAAGATCTTCTTTTGGCACACCCAGAATCCCGTATATTATCTATTAGTACGGCATAGGCGTTAGTGTACAAGTCCATCAAGAAACTTAGCTTTAACAAGCAGAAACTCCAAATCTACAGGCTTTTCACAACCCTCCTTTATCATTTTATCAAGGAGAGTGTCAGCCGTGGCTTGGATCAGGGTCCATATCTACAAATGTTGGTCGATTTTTAGCAGCCTCTTTCCCTCCAGGATTCATTTCTGGGAACCCAGCGCGTGTTCGTTCCTTGCACAATGGTTATAAACCGACTTTATTAGACACTCTGTGTTCTTCGGATGCTATACAGAGCTAAGGCTTCGTACCTTGGACAGGCGCTCCATCTTCTGAAGGAAATTCAAGCCTTTCAAGAATGCAACATAGGTAGGGCTTTCAAGTTCAGAGTTTTCTGTAAAAGTTTGAACACCCTGGCGCGAAAAGTGGATGTACGCTCGCATATTCCTCCGAAGACCGCTGACGCATAGGCCAAGGACAACAGATGCTTCCAATGTTACAAGACTGAGCAAAAAATACTTTTTGCAGCCACCAAGCAGCATTTCTGCAAATCAAGGTCCCATAAAGCTGCATAATATGGGCGTAAGTGAATTCAAACCATTGACCAACGCTGTTGATCTGCCTCCAACTATATTGGTCATTTGTCGTGTTGGACGTTTTGTTAGTTTCTTCTGTAGGGAGCCCCGGGGGTGCCACCATCAAATAGTCCAGAAGTCTCTGAGTGTTCGCCATTATCAATTCTGCTCTCTTAGAAGTAATGACTGTGGAGGGGGGAACGTCTCCATCTGTGGAATATCACAGCGCTTTATCAGCCCAGCCAATGCTAGAAGCGCCAATACCTGTTGGTTGCTTGAGCTTCGCAAGATCCGTGCATGGCCCTCAGCGAATCGATAACCCTGTCATCCCTGCACTGACATGGTATCTGGCATCCTCCGGCCAATGGAGTTGGGGCACGTGGATTGTATTGTGATTGTTACGTTGACTTTTATCACCAAGCACGGAGGGGTAGAAAATATGCCTTGGGCACGTTAGTAATTTAAATGGTAAAGTGGTTACTGTCCCTCCTTAACTTGTTCAGAGGTATTTCGGGGCTGTGTAACGCTTATGATGCCTATTTTTTAGGGTGCAGGCCGGAGCAATTTAACTCCGCTGCAGAAGTCTAATTGAGCAAAGAAGGCAAATATGTAGCTGCACCGAGATAACGCAATAAATGGTCACTTTATTTTGGGCTGCAAAGTCTTAGCCACCATGTGCAATGGATTAAGCACCTGTAGTAAGGCCTGAAATTGTTCGCCTCCTTGGCATGCCAACCACCGCCATGTGCCAATCCTGCAGGAATTTCCCTTGCTTTCAGCAAGTTGTACTTTCCTGATACAGTTTTTCCCTAGAAACCATTTGTGTGAAGATGGAAGTTACTGCTTCTTTCTTGGCCTTTTGAATATTTGTGTTTGTTCCGTAAAGGAGGTAGTTGGCGTTACACCTGCCGAGGCAATATGGCGCTGACTTGGTTGGCTGTCATCATCCTCGACTGCGAGCACCGATCCGGAGTTGGATTGTTGGGAGTATTGACCTGACTGCGAAACGTCAAAATCCACATCAGGGGGTATCTGATCAATTGCAGAGCATATTCTTTTAAAATGACTTGGCATCCATATATCATAGACATTTCTCGTGAATCTGTACGTCGTCCATTTCTCTTTGCCATCCAGAGCGGTAAAATCGAACTTGTGGATTGGGTGGCGGTAAAAATTCGTCTTCTCTCCTTCAAGAACTGCATAGTAACCGTAGATCCTCACTGCCGTGTGGTCATGCGAGACTGAAAAGGCGAGTATCTCCCGGTCGACCTCTTTTTCTCGCTTCACCAGTTTGAATAACTCAACAACGCCTCTCACTGCAAGAGTCATGCTGTGAGCGTTCTGTCGGTCTGCGATATCAAGTGCCACCTCGCCGCATTTTACCTCGCATGTTAGGAACGGAAAATGCATAGTGTCTGTTGCCATAAAAAATGAAGTACACTCCCAGTCACCTATGAAAGGCTTGAGCTTCTCAAGTTGATCATCTGTAAATGCGGACCGCTTGAATCCCACAGAGTAATCAGGTTGTGGACGGGGTCCACAGAAAGGGATGCTGTTGTTCCAGCCTTTATTAACACCTTCATCCAAGCACTCCAAGTGAGTGGCCCCATACGAAGCTAGAGTGTCTGCAGATGGGACAATCAATAGCCCAATATCTCGAATTACTCTGGCTTCGTTCTCACATTGGATCTTCTCGCAGGTCGTGTCGAATAAGTCATCTCGAAATAATGAATTCTCAGGGACAGTTGGGACCGTGTCAAGCAAAGATTCGATAAGAGTGCTACTTCCGTCTGTAATTCCAACGCGCGCCTTTTTCATAAAGCTGCCTTTTGATTCAAGCACGGTTTGATAACGCGAATTCCTGTATGGAGCACTCTTTTCGTCCCTTGGTTTTTGATCATTCGGTGTGGAAACAGAGCCAGATTCCGATTGTTTGCGGTGAAAAGAAGACGACTTCTTCCTTGCAAGCAGGGAATCCATGTTATCCTGCCTGAAATATAATTTGGGCCAATGTCCTCGCTGAATCCAATAGTTGATTGGATTAATGTCGTTCTCGTAGACACGGTTTAGTAACTCTTGGTCGGGTGTGGCTTCAACAGCAGAGCTCTCAACAGCAGCAGATGCAAGACTCGTCCGCCGTCGCTTGGTGGGGAGACGGAGCGGATCTTCAGGTTCTCGCGATCGTTTCCGTTCCCGATTTCTAGCTAGCAGCGGTGCGGTTGGATTCTGTGGTAACTCGACTTTGAGTTAGTTCCGTAGCGCAGTGGGAAGAGAGGAAACATACCGCTGTTCCGGGGGTATCACTATTTGGAGGGGGATATGCTTGCGGAGAGGCCAGCAGGCCCTGAGGAGCCTTAGCTTTGAGTTAGTTTCATGGTGTAGTATAGCAAGAGGAAAGTCACATGCCTCCTCTCTGGAATTATTGTTTGTCGGAAAGGGATACGGGTAGTTTTGTTCGGTTTTCCTGTCCTTCGATTGAATTTGCTCGTGAAGGCCACTGAGGCGTGGGCTCCTGCGGACAGGTTCTTGTGGTCGTTTCCTGACCCCTTGAGGTCGCTTTCCTATCAACGGTCAGTCAAAGTAGGTAGTAATGAACGTGAGTAACGCACCTTGGTTTTGATGGGGGGCCATGATGACAGGAAGGAGGAGGGTAGGAGGTAGTTTTAAGTTGCTGCAGGACAGAGGATTGTGTTGACAGAGAGACCCTTTGAGCGGGAAATTAACGAGAGCCAATCATTGGGTGGAAATGTACAATGAAACACTTTTTTCCCAGGGGGTAATTTTAAATATGTTGTATCACGTGCCTCACATTACCAACTGCATTAGCCCTGTTCCCTGGAGTCATTGCCTACTGCGCTTCCTTCTTTAATCGGAGAAAGCCTAGTGTAATTTTGATTCAATTAAATTTAACGTTTTGATGCTGATTTCTTCAATAGAAGAACGTCGACGTGAGCAAGAATACGCCCCTTTTTGCGTGATGATGCTGATATCAGATAGAAATCAAGTTTGCATATTTGCTAATTCAACCGAACGACATCCCGTCTTTCATTCAGACAGTGCTGGAAGGCATACATAGTAGCAAACAATGGACGACAGAGCGAATGCAGGGTGGGAAGACATCTGGCTGTGTGACAATATTTATCCCAACAGGCGAGGAGGACGGGTCGTGTAACATTGTCGTTGATTGCAAAGTTTTGATGGAAACAATTCACAAATTTCGACTCTCGGACCTCAGGCTCGAGTGAACTTAATCTTGCAACCCAGCACTTCGCAACTGTGCCATGCGGGAATATCGAACATCCTCGGATTCTGACCAGCATATCCCTCATCACCACCTATGACTCTCACAAACCCAGCAAACCCATCTCTACTTGACATAAATGTGATCTGTTTTGCAACGCTCTCTCCTTTGAAAAGTCCATCTGCTGCTTTCCAAATATCGTAGATTGTCTGATTGATGCCATTGTATTAGCCAAACGACAACGTCAAGGCGCATCGTGGTGTATCTCACTGGAGCCTCAGGATCCATCTTTTCCTCTGTTTCCTCTGACTGTTCCTGGCCTGTCATGGTTGCCTGCGGTTTTTCGTTTTGTATGGCGCGGCTAGAGCGATGGAAGCTGGTGGAATGTTAGCGATTATAACGCCATCATTCAATACGCGATGGAGACACGGATTAGAAGGAACGAATCTGGTCGAATTGGGTTGAAGGAGTAGACGAACGGGTAATCAGATAAAAGCAATAAATGGGGTAGCGTTATGTACAATCTTGAACGGCGCATGCAGTTCGAGAAATTTCCTAAGAGTATCAATCTATAAGCTGTATTTTATGACAAAATTGTTTTTACCACGAGAAGTGAGGTTAATTTTGAAGTTTAACGAAATATGTTTGGCGAAAGAGGGGCAAGAAATATGGGGCAATAACAAACTGGTTCATAATATCTGGAGACTTGTCAAAGGTGCAACGCCCATTTTCTCGGGCATTTATGGATAGGGTTCTTGGGGCTCGGCCATTGTAGATGCCAGGTGACGATTAGGCAGCGATGCATTCATTGCATTGCATTGCACCACATTAACCATCGAATTAATTACATTTCATTAAAGACTTTAGACCACATTTACAATAAACTACATTACATTAAACTACATTACATTACACATCAAGCTAAACGCGGACAAATGTCTCCCTTCATCTGGCGCCCAAACCCTTTTAGTGCTTCAAGGCCCAGAATGAGTACCCATAAGATCGAACGTGCATATTTGCGGCATATGGTGCAATGCACCTCGCATGCTCCAGGTCCATTTACCTTGCATCTGGATATGTGGGGACGGTGGACGGATGCCCAGTGCAACAGCATATAAGGAGACACTATTCCCTCCAAATCCTGAGGCAATGAACGGCTCGAGAAATTCGAGCTCTGCAAACACCAACCCAATTGAAGAACACTTGTGTTCAAGCTCTCCAAACCCACCGCACACAATACCATCTGTTTAGAAAACCAAACCACGTCTCCTACTCCAGAATGAACACATTCAACACTGCTGGTTCTTTGCCAATCCACACTGCCCCATCCCAGATCTCCATTGTGGACGTCTTCTTCCCCGGCTTCACCGGCATCTCGGCGTCCTTACAGCAACTTCTAGCTAGTGACCTGAACAGCTATGCTCACCTTCTGTGCTTCTGCAGCATGCTCCTGTTCTTGGGTAGATATGCCATCCGTTACTTGACGGACTTGATGGAAACCTATTTCAGTTCGTGGCTCTTTCCCCTAATGATAGCTTTTTCTAACCATGGAAAGCTTCGACCGTCCACGTCTCCTACTACAACGAAGTGTACGATATGCTCATCGCCTGGGTATCTACCCAGCCGTTCGCCCATAAGGCTCGCTCCTCTCTCGCTAGCGTCGGCGGCATGCAAAGACGAGTATACAGAAATCATTTGCTCCGGTTCCAGTATGTGGCAAAAGAGATGAAGAAGGATATTTCCATTTTTTGCATCAGTGGATCATTGCAAATTTTGCGTGAATGCTGAGCTGATTATTTAAAATTTCTCCAGAAAAAGATTACGGTTTTTGAGCATCATGACAGTGAATGAAGGAAGATGAAGACAAGAGACATCAGATCAATATCGATTGTCATCATAAATAAGGATGAGAAAATAGCCATGCTGAAGGATATTGAGGGTTTTTTGAATGAGCGAGCCCGCAGCTAATATGCAAGGCATGGAATTTTCTATTGAAAAGAGTTTCTGCTGTATGAGCCTTCTGAAACTGAGAAGTCCAGTTTCAGCTTATCTGTGATCAGATGTTTTGAACTGAATATCTATGTTTTCAATTTTTCAAGCATTGATGACAGCTGTCTGAACAGTTTGTTTGCTCAGCTTCCTCTGCATTGTGTCATTCTTTTAGAAGATATTGATACTATTGGTACAATACAAACAGAACTAAGTGAAATGACAGAAAACATTAACAAAAATGTGGTAAGCCTCTCACAGAACAGAAAGTCTCAGAGAAATATATCTTTATTCATTTTTCTTAATACTCTAAATAGTATATCTTTACAGAAAGATCAATTGTTGATTATGATGACAAATCACATTGAATATCTGAATGACACGCTCATCCGCTCTGACCGTATGGACAGAAAGGTTTTGTTTCAGCTCACTGATGAGAAGATGAGTTCCCATCTTTTCTGCATAGTTTTCAAACAGTCAGATGAGGATGACAGCAATTTAAAAAAGAAAATCAATGCAGAAAAGAAGACAGATGATGAAAAAATTGACTAACTTGCATATGAATTTGCCATCAAAATATCAGACTATTTATTTAGTTTAGCAGAGATACTACTATCATTTCTGCTTGAATGCAAGCAGTCGCTTACCAATGCAGTGGCTGATGCGAACAACTGGGTTGCTAAAGCCAGTAAAGAAAGGAGAAAGCTGGAAAATTATATTAAAGCACGCACAATTGCCAATCCTACTGACTATTTCAAGAATCTTATGGAGAGTTCTCAAACTCACAATGTTTGATCCATCACAGAAGTCTGGCGGACTCAATGCATTCTTACATCTTGATTTTATGCTTGTATAATGGAAAATTTGATGTGAATGATCAATCTAGAAGGCCCTCTGCTGTTTTGTCTGGTGAGATATTAACTCTGAGTTGATGTTTTCATGAGGTTGATTGAGACAGATATTCTATCTTTCTGATTCACGTTTCTCTATCAGTAAATTGTATCTGATGATAACACTACTTTAATGCTGAATCTCGATGAGTTCGCCTTCTATCAGACGCAAGATCCGGCTTGCTGATTTTATACCATAGCTCAATCAGTAATAGAAGTTGGTCAAATTTTGTAAACACATTTGATTGTCCATACTTTTGCATTTTCTGTATAGAACAGTTTGATAAATGAAATTTTATTATTCTTGTAAACCTCATTTTTAGATGCACATCAACAGGAAGTGTGGGAGACAATCCCTAAACCAGTATCTATTTCATTAGTCAACAAATCCCATACATGGTACAGTCTATTTGCTGTTGCTCCCAATTTGTCTTGTGAGGAAAAAAAGGCAGCATAAATCTAAAAGCATATAAAATCAGCTCTCCTTCTATTTTGTTTCCTCAATTCAATCTTTTCTTTTCCTTTATAAAAGTCACTCAAGCTTTGCAGAACATCTGACACCACACTTTCATCATGAATACTCAGACAATTTGAACTTGTAAGATTGAGGAATCAGAGGCTGGTCAAGTGAACAGCAGAGGTGATAGTGGTTCAAGTTCTGCCACAGATGCAATAGAAACTCCTATCATTTTATTAATAATGAATCATAACTGACATCTGCATACAGAAAACAATGATATTGATCAAGAAATGATCATGTCTGAGAGGGTTCAGCAGCAGTTTGTTGAGTCTCAAAAAAACACCTCTCTGAGCTCTATTGACTCAATAAAGCCGACATCTCCAGTGCAGGCAATATGCATTTGAGAATTGAAAGCTCATAGTTCTGTATGCTGTGAAAAAAGCACTGCTAAAAAAGCCATACATATTATTTTTTTCAGAAATCCACTGAATCTCCAGCCCTCAAGATCTGTAGTGGATTAAACTCAATCAATCCATACAGCTCTTGCAGATAGCCGACCGATAATGCCTTTTCAGCAAATGTATAAACCTCTTAGTCAGGAAGAGGTGGGCTACATCCGGGAGAGTCTAGAAGAATATACAAGGTAGCATATTCATAAATTATATGGCTTTGACTGTGCAGTAATCTTCACAGATGTCAGAACTCTATTTTCATATATTAAACTTCTGAAGTCAATGATCAAAACCCATCAGATATAGTTGCAATCTGTGGCGTACTTACGCCCCTACCCACCCCTCGCTGATTCCCAGAGCTTCCGCTCCACCCCTTCCTTCTTCCGCCCCTATTCAAGGCTTCTATCCTTCCTTTTATAACCCTGCGATCGCTCCTTCCGCAGGAATCAATCACTGTAAATAAACAAGCATGTATATATAAGGGCGTCCGCCCATCTTCATCTTTTAGAGAATCAGACGTGTATTATCCTACTGAGCTGCGTACGCTACACAATCCAAATCTAAATTGAAGTTCATTTACTGACACATTGATATTAGACTAAGTCATAATGCAAAAGAACCATGCAACCCGCTTGAGCTGCAGGCCAGGAAAACTATGGAAAGCGGCGGCAATGACATTAGAAATGTGCATGTAGAGAGATTGCTATAGCGAGGAGTACATAAAAGAGCAGCCATCTGACTATGAGAAAAGAAAAATGCATTCAAATGCTTTTTAATATCACCACTCATCGAAACCAGAGTGCAAATTTCTGCTTTTTTATGTAGACTTCTGATGAGTTTGTTAAAATACTAGAAACTTATAATTTTCTCTTTCAGAATCTTCAAATTTCACTTTCTTTTTTAATCAGACTGCGTAAGAAGTTGTGAGATCTGTGATATTCAAGATTGTGAGCTTCTCAGAAAAACTGTGCAGTTATTATTATTATTATTCTTTCATTATAAATGTATGCAGTCAGTGACTATGACATCTACCTGAAACACTCCAGGATTTTTCAACTTAAAAATAAGCTAATATACAAAGTCAATTTAATACATGCAATAGCAGAATTCCAGCCCAGAATCAAACAACTATTCAAACTATTCAATTTAAGAAAGAATGTCAAAAGAATGTTAACAGATCAATACATTCAATTTAAAACAAATGAAATAAAAAAATATAAAAAACAGCAGCTATTAAAAAAAAAAAGCATTCACAAATCAAACTTTTTAAAATAAGTCAAAATCAAAAATAATCAAAATGAAATAAATTTCAAAGCAAAAGTAACAAAATAAAAATAAAAACAAGAATAAAAATTAAAGCAAATACATAGAAACAAAAGAAAAAACAAAAACAAAAATTGAATTCATTATCAGATCAAATTATTCAATTGAAATCTTGTAGCAATATTTGATTCTTTCAAATATTCAATCAAGAATTCATTTCCAGTTTTTGTATTGAACAAAAGTTTTAAATTTAACTGTGTCAATTCAAACTTCTCTCTCAATCTCAATCTTAACTCTGTATGCTTTGTACAAAGTAAAAGAAGATGCTTTGAGTTTTCATATAATTGACAATCTGAACATAAATCACTTAAATCATTTCTAATCTTTGTTAAATATGATTTAAAATAACCATGTCCAAGTTTTAGCTGCATTATTGTAGCAATAAGTTTCTTTTTACATTTTATTGAGCAAGCTTTCCATTTTGGCTTAGTTTCAAACCTGGAATAATGTACACTCTTTTTTTGTAAAAATCAGATATCTTGCCATTTTTGCAAACATGATTCTCTTATTTTATATATAAAGTACTTGCAGGGACCAAGCTATCTTTCAAACACTGAAATTTCCACTTTTATATTATGTTTTTATCAACGGGAGGGTTATTCGAAGGGATTCGACGAGGGATTCGAGGGACGATGGATTCGAATTGATGGGGTATGCACTAGTCAATTGTGCCGAGGTATCTTTTTGTTACTTGGCAGGCACGTGTGGCTGGGAGGTACTCAGGGGGGACTTGGCACGGATACGTTTGAACACGAAAATCGATCAGAGTTTTCTCAAACAGAGAAACAAGAATAACTCAAGCAACTGCAGATCAAATTGAACAAGATTTTAATAGATTATCAATATAAGATAGATCTATCTCTGGTCAAAATCTGAGTTGATTTGACCCAGTATTGATGGAGTAATTTGATGAAACGTTGAAAATCCGCCCAAGCAGACGCCAAAACACTATTCATCAAATATCTCCATCAAAACTTCATCAAATCTTTTCAAATTTGCAGCAGTTACTAATGAAGGCAGCAGGAATCGATTGAGGGTACTTGCGTTGTCTAATTCGAAGAATTGGGCTCGTTCGGGGTTTTGCTCTGATTCTTTGAATATTTTAACCGTAGCAATCAATCTCTTATTGAAAATGCAAATAAAACAACACAATACTTACTGACTGATAATTTCTTTGAAAAATATCATTAAAAAACTGCTATTACTGTCAACAAACATTTCTATATCAATAACTCATCAATTCTCTAGTGATTACTTACATCTTTGGTTCCAATCTTGCTGTTAGAGATGGGGGAAGGAATCTCTCAATAGCTTATCAGAATCAAGATTTACTCAGAGATTCTAATCTTCTATATTTTTTGTGAGATCACATATTCTACAATTTCATTTACTTCTATGAGTTTTGTGTTGTGAATGAGACAACAATATTCATTGTTGATTGATACTGTGACTTATCTATGATTACCCTATGATTTTTTGGCCCACTGGGACAGCAGCCCTTTCAGGGGGGGCAGTTGTAAGAAACCCGCACTAAGATACCAGTGCTAGGCAGGTTGAAATCAAGGCATTATCATGCCATCTACAGATTACATCATAGCAAGTTCGATCTGCCTACGATACTGCATGTATATAGCTAGCAGCTGGCCCAACCTTCTAAGGGCCAGCGGATCATTCTGTTATAATCTGAGCCCTACGTTTTACGACCTCGAAATCTAATCATTCAATCCGAATCCTCTTCGATATATCATTGTATTATCTCCTATAGCTTAATCCTTGTAGAGTCTTAAGGACCTCTTGTGATATAAGCAGCTAGTTCCAGCACCGCTGCTTACAAACAGTTGGAAAAGTGGAAAATTCAAATGTACCCCTATGTTCGTGGGTAGTTGTAAGGATGTCAAACACCATGTTGAGCTTATTCAACGCATTTATGCTGCAGTTGAATCTTTCTCCAGCATTGAAATTTATGGAAACTCCGTCTCAGCATCCACAATCATTAGCCAATCCTAGGGACTTAATCGCAACATACCATGCCATCGTCAGCACCCACAACGACCGCGCCGTTTTTTCTGCAGCCTTTTCTTGTCTCATGTGATGCTCTTGTTGTCGCATCCGTGTTTGCTGCTCTACATCTGCTTTTAACTGATCGTAAATTGATTAGCTCAGTGGCCCCAAGGCCGGTAGCTTCATGTTACTCCACAAGCCTATACGCCTCCAATCTATGAGTGATATATCTCAATTGTCGGACACTATCGGATCAGAAGTGAAAGGAAGATTTTCAGTGGTCAAGCCCAAGACCGTGAAAAGAAGGTAGATTTCTTCTCCATACCAGCAAATTGACACCATTTTCAAATATCAATCTCTCATATCCTCGCATGGCTGCTCGTCAAACAGCACCTACCTAGGTAACTGCCATAGCCATTCCCCAGATGTATTTTCGCTGGGCAACGTTGCTTTCCAAGGTTTTGTTATAAACCCACGTGATTGGCCAAACTTACGGGAGAGATCCATGGATGATATCATCAACCCAGACAATGGAGGATATCCCCTTCCTACACCAGACCTTGAACAGGTTGTATTGTCGACACTAAAACAGCTTTGGGGGTATTCTGCCTCGAAGGAAAAATAAGAACAAGACAAAGAAAGGCGGGGGGGATACGAAAACGAAAAATCTGCCAAGCCCCAAAATACCATCGTTGTGATCCTAAACTCCCCTTGCATCAGGAGCTCTGAATCGAACCTACTCCAGCCGGCTACAAAGATACTAATAAAAAAACAAAAGTAAAACAATGACCGGGAACTCCTCCAAGGTCGGCACCCGCGGACTTTACGGGATCGGGGACCAGACGAATTCTCCTCGGTCCGAAGCCATTGAAGCGAAGCGAAACAGGGACCACCCTCCTCTATCCAGCCGCAGAGGTAGTCGGCATTTGAAAGAACAGTACTTGGCCAAGAATGGCTCGACGCTCACAGACGAAGACTTAGCTAAGCTTGACCCTACTGCTCCAGTGAGCCTTTTTTTTTTTTCCCTCGTTCAATCCTTTGAGTCTCCTTTGGGAGTTGCGAGATCGAATCTGGGAAAGCGGGGGGGGGAAAGGGGAGGGACGCGGCTTGATGTGGAAAATCCATTTCGAGGCTATGATGTGTTACTATAAGGCGTATAATCCTCCGTATAGATATTTAACCCATATTTCTTGAACTCTATCCACTAACAACATAATTTCAATTCCTAGGCGAAGATGCATGGCCATAAGCCGTCTCGCGGTGCAATAATCGATGCCGAGCTTCGTGCTGAGGACGAGGAGCGTCTGCGTCAAAAAGGTTACAAGTAAAGCTCGTTCTCGAGACGCGTTACTTTGGGTTACTACTCTTGTTGCTCACGCAGAAAAGGTGGCTGGCTGGCTAAGTGTGGGAGCAGGTGGAAATAGCATCTTCCGCATGTTGGGATTTCCCCTTAGCTATTGTTTCCTTTGATTAAACAAAGGAGATTACGAACGCAAGAGGATGGTGTATGGTTGTTTCTAAATTGCACTGAAGCTTTGATGTTTACCGAGATGTTTTTATGTATATGCACATGGTATCAACTTTATCATCCACAAGCACATTTGCCACAGTTGGACAATACATACCATGCATACAGAGCTGAGAAGGAAAATCCTTGCCACTAGAACTTTCTGTGGTAAATTTTCTACCTAGCTTTACCAGAATTTGTTTGAGACCCAGGATTGAAGTTTCCATTTGACTGTCTTCTGTTCCACACTCTGTATAGTCACATAATTTTAAAAATCCCGTGCCTCAGATACATCGATCGGAAATGTCTTCAGAGTACATAATCCACGTCCATTCCTTATATATGTAAAGAAGAAGAAGAAGAAGAAAAAGAAAAAGAGGAAGAAGAAGACGAAGAAGAAGAGTTAGACCAGTAAAGTCGTAGGTATGATTTACAAGATATTTTTCCAATCTGCCCGCAGAACTTCGCCGTGTGTTATCTTGAACTTCGAGTCTCGCCCCACATACACAGCGTGGAGAAGAGGAGCCAAAAAAAAAAAAAAAAAAAAAGGTATGGTTCCCCCCATCTATGGTCAGGTCGTTGTTTGGATGAGCAAATGAACAATACATATCTCCATTAACCACCGCCTATGATGGACATGCATAGATGAAGGCGAAGTCAGGAAAATTCTATTTTTTCTTCTTCCTCCCCTCCTCTTGATGGTGACGAAGTATAATGCTCTAACTATGGAGGGTAAGTGTTCGAGTTTATCTCCAGGACCTCCTTCTAAATTTTCACTGATGCATTTTTGATTTCCGTTGGCAAATCGAAAGCTATCTAGAGTACATTAACATCCACACAAACCCATATCTAGGCGTTCAGCATCGATCCCACTCCAGGACTGTTTGTCCTTGAATACAACTCACCCAGAGTTCTTAGATTTACTAGAGGCTAGGTCTCATATGCATTCCATGCGGTGGAGTTTGCTGCCCATGACGTCCTTACAAAATCTCCAGGAGTTACGGAGCTACCTCCAAAAAGATAGCCAAACAGCCCCCCTGCATACAAAATCGTTAGCGTACCTTTCTCCCTTTTTAGAAAAAGAAGGGAAAAAAAAAAAAAAAAAAAAAAAAAACTTCGAAATGGTAAAAGTAAAAAAATAAATACAGTCTTTTTGTCTCTCAAGGGAAACATTTCAGTATTGTAAAAGTTTTAGGACGTTTAAAGGTTATTCCTTACCGGTGTCATAATCTCGAAAGGAGATGAAAGCTGTGCATCTTGGAAGGCTGCTGCATTCATCCTGCAGATAAGATACCCAAGTGGAGGCATGGGTTCCATTATCTGGTTCTTCATACCCTGCGAGGACGCGACTGGGGAACAAACTAGGACCTCCCACCCAATTCTGGGGATCCTCCAACATCAGCTGGACATAGTGCTTCCCAGAGACAACCCCAGCCCAGGTGACAAGGGCGACTGCCAGCGCTGTTGGCTTCATTTAAACTTTTCTTTCCTTTTCCGTTTTGCTCTCTCTAGCCGTAGGTTGTTTTTCCTGGAGGGGGAAGATGAGTGGGGGGTAGGAGAAGGGATGGAGGGAAACATCCTGGGGAATTCAGCGCCTTTTGTATCGCCGGAGTACAGGAGTAACTAGCAGGAAGGCAAACTGACAAATCAAGGGTGGAGAGGTCCTGCATTTCGCATTCCGCATTTCGCATTTCGCTGGAAGTAAAGCAAGTCGATGCTTTGCAGGAATAAAGTATCAATCAATAAATGGAAACAATTGGTTCGGGCTTCCGGGGCGGAAGGGCTCCAAGTTCCATCGATGGAATCTTCAATCGTCCCAAGGACCATGCATTGGTTCATCGTGGTTGGTGCGGAATTTGATTTGGTTCAACCATTTCTGGACCCGCGATCCGCGATTCTCTCCTGGCATCTGGTTGAACGTTGATGAGAAGACTGTCTCATGGCTTCACCAGATATAGTCTATATATTGCTATGGCTGGCGATGAAGTAAGGAACAGAAATAGAAACTGTGAGAATACATTTTTTTAGAAAGAAATTGTGCCCAGCCAGCATATGCTTACATTTGCATGAAGATAGTTAACTAACTACTGGTAGCTCACCAACTAGCAGAATACGAAATGATAAGGTTTCCAAGGAGAAGGGACAAGGGACTAAACTCAATCTATAAATTACCGACTTCGAACCAACGTTGATCTAGGCCACCGGGGCAAGGAAGCTCAGTGACCACCAGCGCTTACTGGGCGGAGAGCCATCCAATCCAGTCCCTCTAGCCACGTTGAAGGGTAAGCAGATGCCATGGGGACAGGAAATTTGGACCGAAGACAAGGTTTCCAGAGTATTATGGGTGGGGATGTTCTGACCAATAACATATCATACAACTTAGTATGGTTTATTATTCGTTGTGACTTTCTCGTTAACATACCCCACATACAGCTCACCTTGAACCTCCCCCATTATTGAGAGAACTTTTGCCCCCCCAGAAGCGCGGACCTTAGCCCTGTCAATTACGGGAGGGTGCTCGCCCACTCATTCAAACAGGTGTGCCAACCGAATCCGGTTTTTTCGTTTGACACAAGCGCAGAGCAGAGGGGGGGGGGGATTTACCGACTTTGTTTGCGCTGCATATGCAAGTTCATTTCTCTCCCACCCGTTACTGAATAGTAGTGATCTGGACTGAGCTGCTCTGTCAGAGGTGTTCACCGCTATGCAGTGCATGTCTTTGTCTCGGTTCCAAGAAGTTCCTCGCTTCCTAGCACTCTGAAATGCCAGACCGCCAGCAGCAGTTGGGAATATGTATAATCCTGGTCGGACAACCCGAATGTTCCACCGACTCTCGCTTCTCACAGCGCCACTGATTCTCCTTCGGCGGCGGCCCGTAGTTGCCGAATGCCTTTGATTGTGGGGGTGGGGGAGCGTCCCGGATGGCTTCCGTGAGCGAGAGTGACATCCCATAACTCGTAAAAAGATCATACTGCGTACAGTTGCTCGCCAAGCATGCGCAATGCCTAACTGAGATCAGTGACCGCGTAAAGTGCGCAGGACCCATGATTGTTACTGGCTAATCTCCGACCTTCAGGATGCCAGGATATGATTGAATGTTGCGTTAGCAACAAGCGTGAAACCGGGGCGAAGTTGTCGAACCCAGGAGATATATAGTGCTACCTCTGCGGCCAGGGTTGCGCAACAGAACTCATGAGCTATCAGCCTAACAACCATCTTGGGACTCTAGAATCATAGTGTGCTCAAGTTGGTATGTTGCTGGTGTTTTAATTTAAGGTAGTTAAATTTCCGCTGATCATTTGATTTTTCTTTTTAAAGCAGACGCATTAGAGGAGCGGCAATCATCCACTTAACTTTGCTTCTCCGTTTAACTTCGCATCTCACATTCATCGTGCGGTGTCTAAGCGCGTCGCATCCGAGCCAGTCTTCGAGATGTTCAAGGAAAAGGAAGCGGAGGTCAATGTGACGTCTGACACCGAAGAAAACGAAGTCTTTAAAAAGACAACGGACGGTGTCAACTTCCGGAACGTCGGATGGTTCAAGGCTTGCATCATCTTCACGAAGGTCATATTTGCAACTGGTGTTTTATCAATCCCATCTGCTCTCTACTCGCTGGGGGCGGTGGGCGGAGCAATCAGCATTGTAGCATGGGGCGCCTTCAACACATACTGTTTTGTGATTCTTGGGGGTTTTCGTGAGAGACATCCCGGATGTCACTCAATCGCCGATATGGTATTGGTCACCGGTGGCCCTATTGCGAAAGAAATCACTGGCATCCTGTTTATCATTGCCTATGTTCTCTGTGCGGGCACTGGAATCATTGGCGTGGCTACGGGTCTAAATGCACTCTCCCACCATGGAGCTTGTACCGTGTGGTGGTCCTTTCTTGCCGCAGTGGTGATCGTTCTTACGGCGTCAGTCCGGAAACTCGAACACGTTGGGTGGCTCACATACGCCGGGTTTTCTTCGATTTATATTGCAATTTTCATAGTCGTGGTTGGAGTCACCCAGCTTTCCCGACCGGCTGCGGCCCCTCAAACTGGGCCGTATGACTTGGGATATCACGCCTTTAACAACCCTGGGTACGCCGCCGGTATGGTTGCATCTAGCACTATCTTCGTCTCCTCCGCAGGCACAAGTGCTTTTCTGCCCATCATTTCGGAGATGCGCAACCCGAAGGACTATAAAAAGGCTCTTTACCTTTGCATGGGCGGCGTTACTGCCTCATATCTCTGTTTTAGTGTGGTAGTCTATCGTTGGTGCGGAAAATGGGTTGCTAATCCTTCGTTGGGCGTAAGTGCTTCATCCACCTGCCTCATACTTGGGGCAAAAGAAGAAAAAGAAGAAGAAGAAGAAGTAAATTGACCGTTTTTACAGAGCGCAGGACAAACAGTCAAAATGGTCTCGTACGGCATTGCATTGATAGGACTTGTTGTGAGCGGTTGCCTCTATTTGCATGTAGGTTTTTTTCCTCCTCCTCCTCTCACAGTTCCTATTTTTGATACATGCCTAACCGTTTCTCCCTAGATTGCCGCAAAGTATCTCTTTGTCCGACTGCTTCGAAACACCCAACACTTGCAAGCCAACACATTTGTTCATTGGTCGACATGGTTCGGCTGCACGATTGTCCTTGGTACCCTTTCGTTTATCATTGCAGAGGCCATTCCGATCTTCAACTACTTGGTCGCCCTATTGGGCTCACTCTGTTTCGCACCCCTGGCCATGATCATTCCTGGTTGGCTGTGGCTTTTCGATCACGGTGACTACAGAAAGGGCACTATTCGCCAGAAGACCATTTACTTGCTCCACATTGGCCTGATTCTCCTAGGCCTTTTCTTTTTTATCGGGGCGACGTACGGGGTTATTTTGCAAATTATTGACGCATATGCGTCGGGACTCATTGGTACGTCTGCGTGAAGTTGTCCGGCTTTTTATTTCAAGATCGAGGGAACGGAAGCTGACGAGTTATTTATTTTTAGGATCTGCGTTTTCTTGTGCCGACAACTCCAATTCGTCCTAGACTGGGTATGGGATTGTTGCTGGGAGGGTGTTTTTACCGTCCGTCTAGTGTATATGGTAGATTGGATGGGATATCGTAATTGGCAATTTAATTAATTTGAACAATAACTATGAAGCAATCTTAGTAATAATTAAGTGACAAAAATTTCCATCACCCTTTGTGCCGTGGTTAGAAATAGAACATTATATTTCCTTCCCCTGGCATATGCTGAGCATCAAAATATTAGGCCACTGGGGCAAAAGAGCTCAATGTCACCACCAGCGCCATGGTGTGGTATAGAGGGGACGAATCACCCAATCCAATCCCTCCGACACAAAATGGCCGGGCGGGGCTAGTTAGTTGCACGTGTGTAGAAATGAATTTTCAACCACAGCAAATGCCGAGCACCAAAATGGTTAGAGCTGCATTTATTTGTTCATTTAATATCTCCATACAAGGACTCGGGTACATAAATTGGCCAAGTCGCCAACATTATCGCAAAGATAGCAAAGCACCAGAGCTGTATTCACCGGCTCAGTAATAATCACCGAGAACGCTACGGAGTAGAGAGCAATAAACCAAATACGCCTGGCATAATCGTTCACCGATGTTTCTTTAAATTGGCTCAACTATGCGCAGCAGACTTGTTGTCTTCAAGGAGTCGGCTCATATCTATCATTGTATATAATCCATTAAAAAAAAAAATAAAAATAAAAATAACAATAGAAAAAAATAATCCCTAATATTTTTCCCTTTCACCTGTAACCACAACATGAACACTTTTGTGAATTCCGCCATGATTCATTGTATTCTCTCGAGAACAGTTGCTCGCGCCCGAGTCTTCAACAGCTGACTGCGTTGTGGCCGCTTCAACGGTGCAGATTAACCCTGCTTGATCTGGCGATAGATTCGGATAATCGCGATTTCGGGGGGGGTATTTCGCATTCGCTGAGATTTTCTGCCAGCTGGAGAGTTCGTAACTTTGGGCGGGGCTCTGGTGGACTTCGCTTGAGCTCTTCTTGCGATAGGTATAAAAGGAGCTTATGACTGGCAAACAGGCACAGATCAAGCCAATGCCAGCCTCCGCGTTGCTGAATCAAACATCATTAGTAAGTAAACGTAAAAAAAATAAGATTGGAGGATAAGGTAGATCGGATAAAATATTTCCCCTCTCCCAAAATGATGCTTACCCGGTGAGCACGATTCGAATAAAGACGATAGTGAGATTGGTTGAAGCGCCTTGCTCAACCATTATGACAAGCCTCCAAACGCTGAACGCGGTGGCAACACCTCCGGCTCCCAAGATGCCAATAACCCGCAGTTTCTTGGTTTTTCTAATGTGAAGGCTCCACGTCAACGGCAATGGTAGGACGAGAATTACGAAGTCGCTGACCATGCTGATGACCGCGTCTGCAGTAATCAAGTTTTGTTGATTTAAGCATTTGGCTCCGCTGGCCGGCCCTTCCCAGTAGCCCGAGATGGGAATACAAAAGAAAATCTTCAAAAAGATAGCTGGAATATAATATAACAGGAGTGCTCCCAAGATCACGTAGACGCCGAGAACCTTCTTGCGATCCGGATTGAAGATTCGGATGACGATGGCTAGCAGTGCCACTTTCACAGAGAATGCCATTGGAACGTAGAGAATCGTGATAGCATATGAGATCTGGGAAAGGCGAAAATCAGTTTTCCTCGATATCTAAGCTACGGGCTTCACGAAAATGATCAAGACACAAGGGAGGTTGCGTGTGAGCATCCCACCTTGAGGAATTCCCGTTGCTCGGGTTGAGGGACATCCCAGGCGTGGTATCCACCGCCATGATATGAAACTTTAACTGATAATTAGACCTGTTCTTGAATAGGTGCAGGTGAATGCAGTTACTTACGAAGTGCCACACAACTGCAGTATCCCATGAAGAATAGCTGATAATAAGGTCAGCGATGGTGGTGATGGAATGGAAAGAATCCTCGTGACATACCCATGAAATGGTAGTAGCATCTGTGGAAGAAAAGTAAGTCAAGATGCCTCGCTTCTTCAAGGGAGATTCCATACTCACAATCCTCAATGTCAAACCTGGAGTAGCGGTAATATTTGATGATGAGACGAGTCGCGACAAAGATTGTGACAACTGCTATAGTCAAGTACTGCGTCACAAGGTTTACCGTTCGTAAAACATCTGTCGGGTGGTCAAAATTTGAGCTCACTCCTGGCGGCGGCGGAATAATGGGAGTGACGACAGCCATCACCGCACAGTCTCTGGGAGGCTGGAAAGATGGATGTATTCTAGGAGTGTATGCGCAGAGACAAAAGGCATGACACCGATATATAGATATATGAATATGAGCTGTAGAATTTAGGTGAGGCAAGCATCTGCTCTCACGCAGCAAGGAAGATGGCAGAAAGAGGAATAGACATTCTCATGTGGATAATAAGCGCCACACCTGTCTGTCCAGTATCTCGAACAAGGGGATTGTCACTAAAGCAAAGTTTATGAGGGAAACTTTTGAACGATGTGGCGCTTGATGAGTAGGAAGATCATTCGGTGTTGAGCGCGGAGGATAGAGCATTGGCACAATTTCGCGGGCTTTTGATAAGGACGATTGAAAGTGTCCGCGGGATTTTGCAACATTCTGGAAAAAGGAAAAAGGACAGAGCATTAGCGTTCCAGAGTTTCCGCTGCTCACGCGGTCCCAAGTGCTTGGGATGAGTACTCAAAATTACATGGAAGTGAAAGCTCAAACACAGTTTCTTTCACGAAGTAATGTGGGAGGGAACAGGGTATTTCGGCCCTAGAACCTATCACAAGGTCAACTGGTCGGCTCGCCTTTCAACCCGGGTTACGGGGGAGAACAAATAAGACTCATTGGCCGTATTCTCGGCTTGTAGCATGTCAATCCTTGCACGGATGAGTTTCTGAGCCAGTGAGGTGCGGCTGACAGCAGGAGACTGGGCCCAGAAAGCCTCCAGTCAGGAAAGGAACTCATTCTTTTTTTTGATCAACGCCAAGCTTGTGTCGTACCTTGATTTGATTCATCATACGGTTGATCGTTGGGTTGAAGATGTACGAAGAGTTTGAGAGGAGGAGAGATCAGAGGCAAACTTTGGCGCGTGGCCTCGAACGAGCACATTACCGAATTCAGAATGTGTAGAATTCAAGCGTAAGCCACCGACTTCAATTCTCCTGGAGTTCAGCGGAGTTTGCAGTTTAGAGCCATTATGACCGGTCTTTGGGTGTGGTTTGAATCCGAAACCGCGGGGATATCTTCTCCCACGCGTTTCATGCTTGTCCCATATATCTCTTCTGATAATTGGTGACCTACGAGGGCAGTGTGTCCACCATGGTGGCAGCACAATTAAGTTGTGAGGATCCTCCCAGTCCTTCTTCGAATCCTTTGTGAGCTCGAGCTGAATAAGAATGTAAAAGGCGACTGAACTAAAAATTTATGGGAATTGGCAACGCATCAAGCATTTCCTTCGCCGCCCCGCTCTCCTGTCTGTGGGTGGCTTGCCTTTTCATGCTCGTGGTGCCTGCAATCATCATGCGGGTGAGATTGGCGTGAAGCTCGTTGATGCAAGTTTCGTGCAGTGGATGGACAAGCGCTAAATGAGTTTAGTGTTTGTCTAGTGAGTTTATTAGTCGCCGTCTAGTGTACTCCGTAAACATGGCCAGGAGCCACTCAGTGATAACATCGGATTACCGACAAAATAACTGCTAGCGACTAGTGTTCAAATGTTGTCTTCTCGTGAAGTCATGAAAGATCTTGCAGGAAAAGGAAGAGTCGAAAGCGCAAATATCATCCATCATTCTCACCCACCTTTTCTGCTCAATGGCTCACCATCTGATCCTGCATATCACAGCTGGATAGAACCAGTTTGATCTAATACTGCAGTTCTCACATTCCTTTTAGCATTCAATATCTCCCAAGAAGACTGGCTAAGTTGCTATGAACGGATATTACAGCAGGATTTGCAGGGAGAGATGTTCGAGTGACAGGCGTCTTAGATTCAGGAGGTGATAGGCGTTTAAGCACTGCAGAAGCTGTCGAAGGATGACACTGCCATTGTCAGCAGCTAGTTCATCTGCTGTCATATCGACAGTACTCCTGCCTGTGTTTTACTGCAACTGACAGCCTCAGAGCCCTTCTTTCAAACCTTTCTTTAGCTGTAGAATGCTAATCAATTGAACTGGCATCCCATCTGCGCCGTGGTCTCCGGATACCCTCCCACAATGGGTGGGAGATTGATTGGCAATAGTATCTCTCTGGTATCAACTCCGTAGAGAATCGACTTGTCGGACTGCTCATCGTGGTGCACCAAGCCGAGAGCGAATATTCGGAAACACGAGGGAAGGCACACACTAAACCTGTTAAGCACTAGTCGTTCTTGGCAGCGTACATGTAATTTATCCCTTGTATTCGTGGTACGCAGCGCAACCGACCACAGCGGGGTTTCGAACAGCTGTTGGCTTCTGATCAGCTTGAAAAAAAGGTTTGATGGCTGGAACTGATCTGCAATTCAGAGTTCAGCGTCGCATTTAAAATATTTACCCTAGATCTCCTCCGTAGCTTCAAAATACATCAAAGGTAAGTTCACAAAATCCGAATCTCGCCTTTCGTACGGAGTACTTCACATTGACTCCTCACAGGGTCCCCTTCCCAGCCGGCTTCGCTCCGGTTTCATGTCAAAAGGTCGAATGCTCATGGATCATGGATGTACAGAACCGTGTCCTGCTAGACTCATGGGGAAAGCGGAAGACTTATAGCTTAGCCAGCCACGATGGAGATGGCTTCGGGATCCCCTGGTCCTTGAAACTTAGCTACCGCCCGCTAGCGACACGCTAACTTCTTTAACTTTCCCCAAGCGCTTACATCTATGAAGCGGAACTTCAGGAGAACAGGGCAGTGGAGGCCGTGGACACTACTCCGTACGGGAAGTTCAGGAGGGGCCCACTCTCCCAAAGGAAATTACTGCGCCTGCAAAATCTATCATTAGTATCCGACCTTGGCGCTGCAGAGCGGGGGTGTTTCTGGCGGTCGCTTGCATTATTTTGCTTTGGATAGAACCAATCTCTCCTCCGTAGCAGCCCGTAGTGACTTCGGAGTCCTACGTTACCTAATGATATAGCTTGTAACTAAGGGGTGATTGGTTCATTATATCTCTTCGGATTTGTTTCTGATTTGATTTCCCATACCTGCGTTTGCATTCGTTGCAAGAGTTATGCTTTATTGATTGGTCACTCATTCGGCTGGTCTGTTTTTCCCCTTGACAACTCGACTCTGGTGCATAAGCGCAGGTGTGCAAGAATGCGGGGCATCATGAGGTGGCAACAAATTAAAGACGCGGTGGAATCTGTAAATTTCGAAGATCAACACTTGGAAAGCAGAAAGAAGAAAGAATAAGGAAAAAGAAAAAGGATCAACAAAGACTCGCTGGTTTCAATGATTTTCTTGAACTAGTAAATTAGCGTTATCGAATACTCAATTCAATAACGTCCTTCCCTCTTCAGCAATCACAAGTCCCTCTCTCCTCGCCACCGCTACCAAAGTTTCTGAGGCAAAGTTTCACAACCATGACTGGCTATAGATTGGGTGTTGACGTCGGCGTAAGTCCATCGATTGTCGGTTTGTAAATTCAAGATATCTTGAGTTGACCACTGAGTACACAATAATCAGGGCACTTTCACAGACGTTTGTGTCTTTACTCCCAACGGGGAGACCGTCCGAGCAAAAGTTCCGTCCACGGTTCATGACCAAAGCATTGGAGTCAAAGATGGTATCGCCAAGGTTCGGGAGATACTGCAAAGTAGATCTGGCTGGGACGGGAAATTTGACTTTATCCATCACGGAACCACAACTGCGACAAATGCGGTTCTCGAGGGGAAAGGCGCCAAACACTCGGCTCTGATTGTCACTGCAGGCCATAAGGATATTCTTGCCCTCAGACGATCTCATATTCCCGGTGCCTTGGGTGCTTGGATCAATTTCGTTCCCCCTGAACCAGTCGTGCCGCTGGAAAGAACTGTGCAATGTTCCGAACGTGTGTCTGCCACGGGCGAATTAATACAGGAAGTCGACGCATGCAAGTTGCGACTAGATTTGGCAGAGCTGAAGCGCCAGGTCCCGGAATCAGTTACCATAAGCTTGATAAATTCTTATGCGAACAGGATTAATGAAGACGCAGTACGTGGCATCGTCAGGGAGGAGCTCGGCCCCGAAGTCGAAATCGTTTGCTCTACTGATGTCCTTCCAGAGACCGGAGAGTACGAAAGGACGGTCACAGCAGCCGCAAATGCGATGGTGAAACCCATCGTCAAGAGATACCTTTCGGGCCTCCAAAACCTTTTAAAGGACGACAGCTCCATAATCCGTGTGTTGAAAAGCGATGGTGCGATGACGTCACTGGAATTAGCAGGGGACGTTCCAGTTAACTGCCTTATGTCTGGGCCTGCTGGTGGCGTTCGTGGAATCGCCGACGTTGTAGCCAAAAACACACCTTACAAGAACCTAATCACTCTCGATATTGGCGGCACCTCCACGGATGTTGCCATTATCGTAGATGGATCCCCCTCAGTCCGTCGTGAGACTGTTATTGATAATCTCACTGTTCGGGCCCCTTCTGTTGACGTTCGATCAGTCGGAGCCGGAGGTGGGTCAATTGCTCGATATGTTGATATTACATCGACGTTGAGAGTGGGCCCTGAAAGTGCTGGAGCGACTCCTGGACCGGCTTGCTATGGTGCAGGAGGAAAAGACCCAACCGTCTCAGATGCAAACCTAATTCTAGGATATTTGCCGTCCAAATTACTTGGAGGAAGCTTCGAGTTGGATGTTGCTGCAGCCGAGGCTGCGATTGATGGATTAGCAGCACAGATGAATCTGCCGCGCGAAAAAACCGCTGAAGGCATTATCAGTATGATCAATGAGACAATTTACGGAGCTGTGAGACTGGTATCCGTAGAACGAGGCCATGACCCTCGAGGCTTTGCTCTAGTTGCCTATGGAGGAGCAGGACCCATGCATGCGAATGCCGTGGGAAAGCTGCTGGGGGCCTGGCCAGTTATTGTTCCTCCTGCTCCAGGCGTGCTTTGCGCCCAGGGAGATGCCACGACAAAGATGAGCCACGCTCTGTCGAGATCGTATATCAAATCACTTTCTGACATCGACGCAGACGAGTTACAAAAGGTATATAGTGACCTGGAGCAGTCCTGTGTCCAGGTGATGATCAGTCAAATCCATGATCTTTCTGAAGACCGACTCATCAAGAATTATGAGATTGATGTGCGATACAAAGGCCAATCACTAACTCTCACCATTCCGCTCTCCTATGATGACACCAGAGCTTCTTCCAAATTATTTTCTGAGATACTGCATTCCAAATTCGATGCACTCCATGATCAGCAATTTAAATATTCCCTTCCATCATTCGAGCTTGAAATCATGCGCCTGGGTGTTATAGTTATTGATGGCGCCGCCGATATTGAAATAGCTCTAGCTGAAGCCAATGAGGTGTCAGGGGGTAATACCCCTCCTCAATCGGCGCTCAGGGAGAAATCAATGATCATATTTGAGGGGAAACAGTACGAAGCTCATATCTGGGATCGGAGTAAGATTACAAAAAAAGGATACGTGGTTGAAGGACCCTGCGTGGTAACCGAGATGGTATGATAACCTTCGCAAAAAAGTGAACCTGAGCTAATACACATTGATTGTTTAGGATTCTAATACCCTCATTCTCCCCGGATATTACGGCGAGATTGACTCCATGGGAAACATCCTGATTAGACCGTTGGAGACTAAAAAAGAGGAAGATAGGAATCCAACCTCACATACTCCACAATCTGCGACAGAACTAGTCGCGAAGGAACCTTTGATATCAACATTGATATCGGCCTCGTTGCAATCAATTAGAGAGGAGATGGATCGCCTTATGCTTCGGTGTGCCATGTCACCTGCGATTAGAGATCAGCAAGATGAATTCAACGTCGTAACTAACCCGAAAGGGGAGATGCTTGTTGGACAATTTGGAAGCTTTGTGCCTTCTTTCTTGCGCAGATGGACAGGTACCATTGAGGAAGGTGACGTATTCATGACCAACGACGTTTACGAGGTTGACGGCGCCATCAGCCATTTGAACGACGTCATTGTTCTTTTGCCAATATTCTACGCCGGCAAGCTGGTGGGTTGGGCAGCTAACTTTGGTCATTTGACTGATGTTCAGGGGAAGGTCCCGGGTAGCATGTCTGTTAATGCAACCACTGTTTTCGAGGATGGTATCCAGATCCCTCTATTAAAACTTTATCGCAAGGGTCAATATAACGAGGATATTATGACGCTCCTCTGCCGTAACTCTCGGCAGCCCGACTGGATGCGAAGTGATATCACTGCACTTGTTACTGCAGTACGTACAGCGGCAGAACGTGTCTGTGAGCTCCATGACAGGTACGGGGCGGAGGTGTACAAGGCCGCATGCGACAGTCTTCTCGAGCAGAACCGATCAGCTATCTCCAAGATTATCGACACAAAACTTGGCAGTGACCCAACTGAGTTCACCGACTTTGTGGATGATGATGGACATGGATATGGGCCGTACGCTGTGAAATGCACAATGCAGAAAAAGGAAGACGGAAAGCTTCATTTTGACTGGCATGGAACAAGCCCTCAAAGTGAAACGGGAATTAACTTCTACCTTTCTGAAACCATGTTTAAAATGTTTATCGGGTACGGTGCAGACTCCCTTCGCGATAATTTTGAACCCCCTGCTAACATATCATTAGTTACTACCTCTTGGCAGCTTATGATCCTTATTGTGTTGTGAATGATGGCTTCCATGACTTACTCGAAATTCACCTCCACGAAGGTTCGGTGCTTAAACCTGTTCGGCCTGCACCCCTGAGCTGCCGGACGCATTTCCTTGGGAGAATCCTGGATGTTCTTCAAGCATTGTTTGGCCAGAGGAATCCCACATTTATGGCTGCTGCAGGTTTTTCCGACAGCCCTCACTTTGTAAGAGAAGTCCATATTCAGGAAGCAGGGACAGGGACATGTTGCTAACTTAAACCAAAGTTTTACTCTGGCTTCAAGCCATCCGGCGAATGGTTCCAGCTTTACCAGATTGGCTTCGGTGGTGTCCCAGCAAGGCCAATTGGAGATGGGGTAAGAAACTTCCAAAAACAAGAAATAAAGAAAAAGAAAAAAAAGAAAGAAAACCTTGTATGTTAAATGAAGTAGATATGTCAGATGCTGATTGAAACCATAGCCCGATTGCCACTGCCTTTTCCCGGCAATGAAGTCGATTCCCACGGAAAGCTTGGAATTTAACTATCCGCTCCGACTCGAAGCGAACGAATCTGTAGCGGACTCGGGTGGTGCTGGGTTCTATCGCGGCGGCAACGCACAACGCACTGTGTATCGATTCCTCAGCGCTGGAGAGTTTAGCATCCATGATGATAGATGGTTTACCAAGCCGTGGGGCGTAAACGGCGGAAAACCAGGAAGCCGATCAAGAAAGGTCATTTATTATTATTCCAAAGATCCGCAGAATCCGCCAACGAAGGTCCTCCAGAGCAAATGTGATCATATCCGCGTTGCGCCCGGGGACTTGCTTGAATGGATCACTTGGGGTGGTGGTGGGCTAGGTGATCCGCTCACAAGGCCGGCGGAGAAAGTGGCATTGGAAGTACATCGAAAATCAGTCACGATCGAGGGGGCTTGCAAAAATTACGGTGTGGTGGTGAATCCGTCGGATTATTCCGTTGACCAGAGTGCTACGGATGCCCTCAGGGCAGAAATCAAAGCTGCAAGGGGGTCAGACAAGCTTGAGCTCTTTGATCGTGGTGGGACATTGGCTGAACTGCGTGCTGCTTGCCTCGAAGAAACTGGCCTGTCTCCCCCCATCCCTCAGTGGGACAAGGACCCCTATGGCCCACATGTTGCTGTTCCATACGTGAAGGACTGGTTCAAGTTAATGAGGGAGAAGGGCGAATGGGTCGGATTGTAATGAAGTCATCGCCGCCGAAATGATAAGTAGGATAGCTGGTAAGGGAGTTATATATATCCCAGGTTGATAATGACCAGTGATGGCAATTTTGTCTATGTTAACATATACGGAGGAGTATTTGTAGTTTTCGATTCAGCTCTCCATGATGGGAATTTTTCTGTTATAGCACTCCCCATTTTCTCCCTTCTTTGTGGCTGCATCATGTATATCAAAAGATGAACCACAGAGAAATTGATATGCCTTAGAGCTCCATCAATCAATCCTTAGATTAGCGCCGTGATATTTTCACTTCACATCCTACCAAATCAATTGAGACTTGCGGAATCCCGCGCCCACCCTCTAGTATCTTACGAGCATCTTGAACGATCGCCAACGCCGATGTTAAATATTAAATCTGTTCAATTTCGATTTCTCTCAACGTTTCTAGAGGGCGAGCCCTTCCGTGGCTGGTGAGTTCTGGTGTTTCGACTTACCTTTAGGAAGCTGTTGATTCCAAAAGGTTGATGTTGTTACGTTCCAATGATTGTGAGTCCTTTGTCTGTAATGCTTCGGAGGAACACCTCAAAGATCTTGGGCGTGATAGCCATCACTGTCATATGTAATGTACCATAAGTCTATCCTCTGCCTTTCCAATCTAATTGTCTCCTATGACGCAACCTGAACTGGAAAAAGGACCCCACTGCCATCTACCTCGATGTTGTCGGCAGTAGAGTGGAACTGAATTCCACCAAGTCTAAAGCCAATCTTGACCACCGGAAGATTGTGTTGGAATTGGCAGCAAGTCCCCTACGGGAAAATGTTGCCCTCGGTGAACAGATCGTAATAATTATACCGTATTCGTATTAAAGGAATATGTATCGTTGTGATGTTTTGTCAATGGCACGCGCGTATCCACAAATTGGCCAGAGGCTTCTTGATATCGTTATCACAAACATCGATGGCTTCCAAGGCAGAGAGCGCGAAGTCTGTATTGTTGACCTAACATGTACAGAGCGAATTCGATTTTTGAATGCGGCCCAGCGCATAAACGTTGCGCTCTCCAGGGCAAAAGCTGGGTTGTATGTTGTTGGTAATGTGCGGGCTATGTCAGAAGACCCTAAGTACCAGGGACATCGTCGACTGAGCTTGTTAAACGAGTTGGCGACACAGCTCGGCAATGACCTAGCGGTTGTCCAAGTGAATCCGAGGGGCGGATCTCGACAAAAACGCGGGCGACGCCCTCGACGCGAATCAAACCCAAATCAAGGAGTAAGTAGCTGATTAAATACCTGCACTCGACATGGTCGAATGCAACACACTAACCCAAATCGACAGACAGAACCTTTTTCGCAGGCAGGCCCTTCGGCGGACCCTTTTCGACTGGCGAACCCTTTCTCAACAACAGAGGTAATTACATAACCACCAAGCCCAACAATTACAAAAACTAACTGCTACTGTTCTGATAGGAGAGCGTTGTTGAGGTTGAGAAATTCGTAGATGGTAATTTGGAGGAAAGATGTTGACAGTAATCCATGGATCCTCGACCTCGGGAGTGTTCAAGAGCGAACCCCCACTGTCACACCCTCCAGCATGAGCGGGAAGGCCCTGAAGCATGCAAATGAAGCCAAAGAATTCTTTTCCTTCTGTCCCCCAGACGTGCAGCCGAACACTCATGGTATTACTCTCTGTGGTATCAACGACTTTGAGGATAATGCCTCCCCCAAACAAGATGGGTGGTTTCTATCAGACTTTTTTCTCTTCCACCATCTTCTTCAAAATACACATAAGCACTCATCTCTTAAGAGGGTGATTGTGTGTTACTCCAGATCAGTTGCTAACATTAATAGATACATTCCACCCGTCAAATCAACTGTGGTTCACCTGCGTTGAACCACGAGCTCTTGTGACGAAGTATGGTGAATATGTACATGGCAGCAGGTCTGGTGATTGTAGAAGTTGTCCTGGATGCAAAAAAAAAAAAAAAAAAAAAAAAAACTGGAGCAAAGTGAGTCAACCCACACAATCCGCGTAATTCCCGCGAAGGATCTCCTGGAGCGTTTTTTAGCAACACTAAGATCAGAGACACGAATTGCAGTTCGGGATAATCAGCAGGTGCTAGTGTTCATATTTGGACACGGAGAAGCGGAATCCTTTGGGGCGTCCATAGGAGGCAAAGGCTGTTCTGACCGAGCACCTCAACTTACTAATAAAAAGTTACACGAAGCTATTCACCCAAGTGTTGATTTAACTAACCCTGGTGATGACATCATGTTTTTCAGGAGGGTGGCTTGTAAAGCCATACACGGATTCACGCCTCTCTGTGGTAAAGAGACTTACGCCGTAATGTGTCAGATATGACAGCTGCTGGTGATGAGCAGGAGAGTGGAGCATGGGCATCGAGCGCCTCGTGCGGGAGAGCAGGGGGTTCTATTTACGCGACTGCCGTATTGAATGCACTGGTGCAAACAGCGGAAATTCACCGGGAAGGCGTTGATGAAAGCGAAGCAATGAGCTGTCCGACGTATATAAACCTGTGCTGTGCGGTCCACCAAGCTTACAAAGAATCGGATCCATTTTACGGTAGTCACGGTGTGCCATTTGCAGCCCGGGACGATATGTGGGAATCGGAATGGAGAACGCGATCAGGATTTCCACTCCTTGACTACCAAAAGAAGTGGGAGGAACTACGCCAGGTTAGCCCTGGCCAGCCAGCATTTGATAGCGTACCAACTCTGGGATTTGCTGGTAGCATTGAGAAGGGGTTCCACAATGTCGTGAGGGCGAAAGCAAGGGCCTATGCGGACTCATTCCCTGGCGCTGATAACCTGGCGCCAAATCTACCACTCCACTCACTATTCGGTCCGTCAGTTGCTACAAGGGGCCCAGTTTTCGGAGAATAAGCTTATGAGCATTAATGACAGCTTGGACTATCGTTCATCTGCGTTACAGCTCGCCACTCAATATACCACCTTCCTTGAACTTGCATTCCCGGACGCAGCGTCATTTGATGTGGAGAAGTGGGCCCTCCAGGCGGACAAGCAGCGGCTAGAATTGTTTCGGAAGGTTAAAAGATACAATTTGAATCAGAAAATCTTCGATAAACCCAATGGCGATCAGGGTTGGCGCTATCCTAAGCCGGATCAGTATTTAGCATTCGCCTTGATAGAGTCTTCACTAAGGTATGAAGATATTTGTGAGCGGATCGATCAGATCAAGACAGATAAGTCAAATTATCATGCCTCAATAGTTAATCACTAGATAACATAACTAAGATCTTGCTTGGTAAACTGGGAGCACAGCGTTTCCTTGCTAAAATGCCAATTGCAGAGAAGATAATGGGGAACCAGGAGGTTATGAAAAAGCGGGATAAGTTTGTACAGACATGGGGGAAGTTAACAACTCATCTGAGATCATTGTCACCACAAAAAGGTTCGCGAAAACCGCTGCCACTGTCACCATGAAAGTGGATGGTCAAAAGAGGCTAGAGCAGAAGCACCCTTTCCGGAAGATTTATATGGAATATGGGGTCGCTTTCAAAAGTTGCCTAGTAGTTATGCACTATCAAGGCATTAAGAAGATTAGTTAGCTACCTACATCATACCTGTCCATATGTATATAGGTAGTACATACCTCATAAGCGGCGCATAGGCGAAAAATAAATTTGTATCAGAATTGTATACAAACCCCATAGAAAAAAAAAAAAAAAAAAAAATCAAAATTACTTTACTATTATAGTTTTGAAAAGATTCCTTTTTCGATTATGGAAGCTGGCGTTGTCAGTTAAATGAATTCAGATCTGCAAACAAAAATTGCAAAGTTTGAATGATGTGTCTTTGCCTTTATTGCTTAAACTACTCCGTACAAATTGGTTGGAGTTTATGTATGTATGTATACATTAACCTCCCGGAGGCCTCCCGAAGAGCATCATAATTTGTATGTGTAATTTATGAGCAAAAGTATAAGATAATACAGACTATAACTCAACAGTATACTGATAAGTTCAAATTTTAAACTGTTTAAATATTAATATATATATTTGAATGAGTAAATTACATATAATATATGATTTCAATATGGTGGATTGTTTTAAATAACTCATTTTCAAGCAATTATCTGTTTTAATCTAGCATTTATTATTCAATTAGACCTTGTGCTAGCATATGAGTGGGGCTTCTTAATTATATCAGAGTTGCCTTTGACTCGATCGTTTTATAATTGAACATGCTTTAATTTTTAGCTACAATGTTCAACTTTATAATAATCATACACAAAGTCATGTATCTGAATTTAATAGTGTTTCTCTTACTAAATACAAGTATCCTGTACATATGAGCAATAACCATACCAGGTTATATGCAGTGATGTTGATACTGCTCCTCCGCATATAACTAGTGGTTATTGAGAGTTGAGTTTGAACATGCTGTAACCCGACCCACCTATAATTGATTATTGCCATAGTGTTGAACATTGCTCCACCCTGCAGTGGCAGTTACCAATAGAAATGAGATAAGAAAGGATACCTTCAATATCCACCAAGATGTGATAATATCCTTTTTGAAAAGAGTGGGATTCAAACTCACTACCTTCTTGTCTCAGCAGTGGCGGCCCCAACACCAAGTGTCTAAAGATTTGAGAAAGCATTCCATAACAGCGCTTACCACTACGCCATCCACCCCCTCTTTTTAGCTACAATGTTCAACTTTAATAATTATACACAATGAGATGTCTATAATCATTGAAAACGAAGAAGTAACTCTCCAAGTCTTATATATCGGTTGATCGGAAGAAGATGCAATAAATTCAGCAGCTCTCACCTTGAAATGTTTCAATATAAATTTCATTTCTAGTAACTATATGGTAATATCTGTTGAAAATAACTGCAACCGCTTTTATTATGAAGGGTTTTTTAATTTTGCTTACAACTGTTTATTTTATAATGGTACCACATGCATTCACACTAGTAAGTCTATAGGTTTTTGAATTTATATCTTATTACACAGTTTTTTACATTTTGAAAGAAATGAAAGCGATATATACTAAGTTTTATAGCGGAGAGTGGAAAACATAATAAACCCGATTCATAACTCAGAGAAAAATTCTAATGGATTAATTTCCACTAGTGATGATAAAAATGTGATTAAATATCAACCACGGAGTCACGATGGTTTTGAAGTTCATAAAACCTATGACCATTTACTACCATCCGAGAGAACCCAACAGTCTGCCCATGTATTAAACAAGTTGAAAAGGGGGCCTTCTGGTTGTATGAGATATCCCTGCGATAACTCAATTATTTGTTATTCAAAACTTTGTGGTAGTTGCGTTTTTCCAAGTGGTAGTAAGGCTGGTGTATGTTCCCCAAGATATCATCCACCACGGTGATATTGTGAGACAACCACGTGTCTCGTGTAACGCTCTTACCCTTTATAAAATGGTCCGCTTAGCTAGCAATTAATCAATCAAGCTTTTCACCTCTCACAGATATTACAAAGTACGTTGAAAATATACAGCGTAAAGGAAAATTCGAAGAAATTATAGTCTTAACTGCGCTAAGTGGAACCTCCCACCTCTCATTAGTGAGTGCGCTATATTGTAATTAGACAGAGCGAAGCGAAGTCTCTTGAGAATCATACGAAGCTCTGAGGGGGAGGATGGGGGAGGGGAGACAAAAGTTGCTTCATTTTGTGGCTGAAATGAATGCCAGCTACCAACCTCCCTGCGCGATATCTGATCAATCTCTATATGAATAGATATTGCCAGCTAGATTGCTAGCTATGCATCAATAAAATCATTGAGATTCGTTCATTTTCAGCCATGAAATAAAACAACTTTCAAGTCCCCCCTTCTGGAGCTTTGTCCATCTAATAAAGTCTGTATACAATATCTAGGACTCGTCGTCTACCTAAGCAAGTTTTATCTCCTCGTCTGGGGGCGAGGCACAATTAGCGCGGTTTTTTAGCGCGTACCTTAGTGTATTAAATACACGAAAACTACTGGATTATATGAGAGATCAGCTGTATTGATGTGTTTTAGTGTAATTTATGTAATCTATTTGATCTAACCCTAATTAATTATTAGAATGGAACTCCTGCCAACACCGGCTTTTCAGACAGAGAGGAATATTATTACATGCAGCACAACCATATCTTGATCTTGAAGCTCTACCCTTATTCTGCTCTGTTCTCTTTCTTTTATACTGACATCAGGCACAAGCTCGAGGTCCTGGCAGAGGAATTCGATGGTGATTAAGATCTGAATTTGATCGAGTTGAGGGTAGAGGACTTGAGAATTCAAAGAGATGAAGATAAAGTTGTTGGCGGAATTGAGCATGAGATAGAGCAATGCCAGTGCCAGTGTCAGCAGTAGTGCCAGTAGTAGCCAATCTATGAAGGATATAAGCATTGACAATAGCATGGTCAATAATCCAGAGTAGAATTGCCAACCACGTGCGATTGGTGGGCATATGAGTCTCATAGGAAGCTCTATACTGATTTGCTAGATCAATCCCATTCATATAATGATTATAGTCATCAATAATGGTAGGAATCTCCATAGCTTGTTCAAATTTATCACCAAATAGACGTCGAATCTGCAGGCCGTTGGTGGAATTGATCCCAGGACATTTCCAGATACATTCAATGAAGCTGTCTGGCTTATGAACTGTAGACAGTAGTAAAACCACATTATTATCTTTCCATGCAAGACAGAGAACTTCATTTTGAGGGATAATACACAGAGTATTGAAGGGAATATGAGCAGATAATCCAGAGTTTTTTAGTTCTTGTAAAAGAGGTGGTAGATTGGCAGGATGGGTGGTTCCACAAGCTCCAATTCCTTTCTTTCAAAGATAGTGGAATAGAGCAACAGAGGTGAAGTAGTTGTCCATATAAATCGAGTAGCCAGCAACCTCTTTAGTGGTATTCAACTCAGAGTGCTGCTCAGAGTGCTGCTCAGAGCTCTGCAAGAATACTGGCAGCCGTTCAATCAATTCCACCACAAGAGATTCAGTCTTGGTTAATCCTGGAGTTCGGAACATTGTACTTATGCGGAGATTATCATGAGACATGGAAAAGGTTCAAAGATAGTCCTGTTCTTCTAGTTCAAAAATCTTATATCTCTGTTTGATTGGTTTCTGAGGCATCTTGACTGTGTATTTTGATCGGCTGAAGAATCGAATCATCATCTCATCAATGGAGAGATTGGAACCGGGGGTGTAGTATCTCTGACATGCTGTATGAAAGTTGAAGTATAGAGGCTCTAGCTTCTGAATGAAGGAGGATTCCAGTTTGCAAAAGTTGAATATGTGGAGATATCTCTTGATCTGCTCAAATCTATACTGTTCCATGTGAAATCTTGATGGATGAAGTGGCCCTTGAGCATCATTCTTATTCCAATAATCTCCAACTGTTGGAGATTTATGTATTCCCATATAGATAATCTGCCCAAGAAATACCTTGATTTCTGCAGAAGTAGTTGGCTGTCAATCTCATGAATTGAGAGCTGGATTCTTTAAGATCTGTATCTTTGTGTAGGCATTGGTGGAGCTTGTAATATTCTGAATATCTGCCTCTGAGATATAGAGAGAGAATAGGGCATATGGGCTCTGTGGATCAATATTATTGAGCAGATTGACAGCTGGCAGGCGACGAAGAGCTTCCATAGAATTGAATTTGACATCTTTCAGAGGTGGAATATCTGCTATAATTTCACTCAGAGATCATTTTCATTTCTCACTCTTTTTTGTACTGTCTAATAAATAATCAGCAGATATTATTTGAAGAAGTATTAGAGAATTGAAAATACCTTTGAATGCCATGATTTCTGCAGAGCGTGGGTGGGTAGAAAGGTGAATTCTCACAGCTGGAAGGTTAGAATTGCATATATTTTAGTATGAGAAATTATTGGTTTGTACTTCTGAACTAACAGCTTAGTTAGTACACTAATGGTATTGCGCTAATTGTGCCTCGCCCCCAGACGGAGATACAGTCTTTATATCATGTGATTTATTGGTGAAATATGGACGGTTATATTTTTAGAATATTAACAAGATTTATCAATTTTTGTTTTTATATAACGTCATTTATATCTGAATTTAACGGTGTTTTTTCTATTGATTATTTAGGATTCTATATATGCGGACTATGAAATTAAACACGCATCAGCAATAATCTGATTATTTATATGGCTGAGATGACTGAATGACCGAGCCTCTGCAAATAATCACCGATAACCCAGTTATACAAGGGGGTTTGGCTAGGGTGGCCTTCAAGGGGGAGGCGTGTTATGACACCGCTAACGCGACCGCGTGGATAACTTGTTCTGGAAAACAGCTGGAGGTTGGAGGGCAACACAGCATGGGAAGTGACATTGCCGACTGTTGAAATAACCCACCCATGGACTGTGATTCTCTTGTGACATTTCTAACTGTGCCACAATTCCTCTGTTCAGTGTTCAAAGAGTTTTCTTCTGCATCTAGGAATATGTTATGGCAAATAGAAGGAAGGAGCTTGGAATTTTTGCGTTGGAAACATTATCTCCGGGCCATAGAGGACACTGTCTAAGTTTAAGTTTCGTCTCTATTCGCTCGTTCCTTTTTTAAACTTTGATCTGGGCATTCAATCTGGCGTTGAGGCTTGAATTGCTGTGACAGTGATCTGCCCAGACCGGTTTTGTTGTAGCAAGGCGCGCCTCCATTCGATTGACGTTTGTTGCCCGTAAAAGACCAAGGGTACTCCTGCCGAGAGTGCCCAACAGGTCACTCCTGCCGGGAGTTCCAGCGATACGTCACAAGCCCGGTACCGCAGAGAGGGCCATGCGTACGAGGCTGGCCCCGCTAGAAAGCTAGCGGTAAATATTACAACGGTGGTGTATTTTACGGTGGAAACAGCGTTGATAACCTTGTTCCTGCCCCCTGATACGCGATGTTGACCTAGCGCAGACAGCATTACAGAGTAGGCGAAGCGAAAAGTAATAAGCAACAAGCCGCACCACCACATCCTCCACCGCCATCGTGGCTCATTTCTCCCAGCATCTCTCGACCTCCTCTCCGTCCGCTGCGTATACTATCGCCTCCTCTCCTCTCCTCTCCTCTCCTATCCTCCTCTCTGCATTTCCTCCCTCCCCCTCCTCCGCCCGCGACGCCCCCATCCGGGAGTCTTGTGTCTGGTGCACTCTCCCCTGGCATTGGCGTCCAATCCCACAACGATCCCGCCAAAAAAAAAAAAAAAAAATTACTGCGCTAGTCGATCCCTTTTCTTGCGGAAAAATAATAGGGGCTTGTCCTGTCATCTCGTTGCCCATTCTCCTTCATCCTCTCTTCATTTTTCTCCGATTCCATCAAACAGTTCATTCCGCCCCAATCCCACGCTCTGTCAGGAACAGGCTCAGCAATCGCCGGAAAGACAAACGAATCTGACAGACGAACCGTCAAAATTTCGAAAGTATACTTAAACTTCAAATTTACGGCTAAGGAAATAAATAGATCAATAAAACATCCTCTGGCACGCCCCTCGAGACGGCTCTCATGATCGCGTTCCTCTTACTGGCCTGACAGCTCTGGGAATCGATCTTGGTGGATCGAGAACTTGGGGGGTGGCTTTCCTGGCCTTTTTTTTTTTTTTTTTTTTTTTTTTTTTTTTCCCTTACCTTTCGTTTCTTTTTCTTCTGTTTCAGCAGAGACAGACAGAGAGACAGGCGCAGAGAAAGAAAGAGAGCGAGACAGACCGTGTTGAAACCGGCCCCATAGCTATTCCGTCTTCCAGACAGTGGTTTCTCCACCATGGCCAATTCTCCTCCTGCCTCTCCTATTCCCACCGGCCAGCCGCGTCCCATGAGCGCAATGATTCGACCTCCACGAAGCAACAGTCGCATGAGTATGAGCAGCAAACAGGGCGGTAGCAGGGCTTCAGATGAGGATACAAAGACGGCGGTGAAAGTCGGTGTGTAACAGTTTTTATTTTCTTTTATTTTGATTTTTTCTTGATATTTTAGTATAACTATATATATGTCGCTAAACTCTCTGGCACAAAATGCATATACTTACACGAGTAAATACAAAACAGCTGTTCGCGTTCGCCCGCCATTGAAGTCCACCGATCCAGGATTCGAGTTGATTCCACAGCGCTTTCAACGGTCAACAGTCCACGTCACATCACCAACCAGCGTTGCTGTCGATGCTCCGCAAGGTCGCAAGCTGTTTGTATTCGATAGAGTGTTTGCGGAAACAGTGGACCAGGAAGGCATTTGGGAATACCTACAGGACAGCGTCAACTCTTTCGTACAGGGTTACAATGTTTCAATTCTCGCATACGGCCAGTCTGGCGCTGGCAAGTCTTACACCATGGGCACATCTGGTCCGACAGAGCAGAGCGACCAGAAAGTTATGGGTATGTGAACGTTTCCATCATGTATATATGTGTATATACGTATATACTGATCCTGGGTCTAATCATTTTCATTCTGATATAGGAATAATTCCCCGTGCCGCCCAACTTCTCTTTGAAAAGTTGACTGGAGCTACACATACTCGCTCAGGTTCAACCGGTTTACGGACCCCAACACGATATTCCGTCAATTCGTCATTGCCCCATTTCGGCAAGGGTGTTTTGGATAAAAGTTGGCAGCTGAAAGCCACTTATGTAGAGGTATATTATTCCTCATTATCATCAATTTTTTTTTTTTTTTTTTTTTTTTTTTTTTTCCTGGATAGATCAGGCAGGCCTTCTAACCCTGTTGGCGTCAAGATTTATAATGAACAACTCAGAGACCTCCTCCTCCCTGATACCACACCCCTTGCAGAGCGAGGTTCTGTTACCATCCGCGAAGATACCAAGGGACGGATCCTACTCACGGGCCTGCACCAGGTCAACATCAACTCATTCGAGGATCTTATCGGGGCTCTGAATTTTGGTTCCTCTATTCGACAAACGGATGCCACCGCGATCAACGCGAAATCCTCCCGCTCGCACGCTGTGTTTTCTTTGAACCTAGTCCAGCGCAAAGATCAGACCTCGAATCTGTCGACGCGTGAAAAACGATTATCGATGCCTGTCGAAGCCCTCTCTGGAGCTGACATATCAATTACCGTGGATAGCAAATTGCACTTTGTTGACCTTGCCGGTAGCGAGCGCTTAAAAAACACTGGTGCATCTGGAGAACGGGCCAAGGAGGGAATATCAATTAACGCTGGTCTTGCTAGTTTGGGCAAGGTCATTTCACAACTTTCATCGAGACAGGCCGGTTCCCACGTCTCATACCGCGATTCTAAGCTCACTCGACTACTTCAAGATTCACTAGGTGGCAATGCGATCACTTATATGATTGCCTGCGTTACACCTGCCGAGTTCCACCTTAGTGAGACTCTAAACACCGTACAGTATGCCCAGCGGGCTAGAGCCATCCAGAGCAAACCTCGTATCCAGCAAATAACGGATGAGAGCGATAAACAAGCTGTCATCGATAGATTAAAAGCTGAGGTAGCATTTTTGCGCCAACAGATCAACAATTCCGAGGGCGGGGATAGAAGGAGCAATGTCCCCCAAGAACGCGCAGAACGTCAAAATGAAAGAGAAATAGAACTACAGAATCACCTTTTGGATGTTCAAGAGAGCTATACTGCACTAAGCCAGCGACATGCCAAACTGATCTCAGAACTGACAAAGGCTACTGATTTTACTGGGGATACTGACGACCTACAAAATCTGCTTGGTGATAGTGCGATGGAAAGGCTGAAGCGCTCCCATTCATTCGCAGAGTCTGTCGAGCAAGTGGTATTGGAGTATGAGAAGACAATTCAAAGCTTGGAATCATCGTTGTCAAACACACGCTCCTCACTGTCCAACACTGAAAGCAGCCTTCTAGAAAAGGAGACCAAGTGTGCCTATATTGAGACTGTAAATGCCCAGCTACAGGCCCGTATTCAGAAGATGATGGATCGTGAAGCAAATACTGAACATTACCTACATGAGCTCGAGTCCAAACTTGATGGCCATACCACTGGTGAAGAGAAGAACGCTGCTATTATTGCTGAGCTACGCAAGGAAATCGCTCGTGCGCGTGAAAATGAAGCCAGCTGTGAAGACTACATATCGACACTGGAGGAACGACTGGCGGAGGCTGATCAAGACATGGAGCTGATGCAACGCGAAATGGATAGATTAGAGCACGTTATAGATCGCCAACGCAGCCTGGGTAAACTTGATACCCTATTGTACGAGCTCGACCATATCCAACAGAATGGCGCTAAGTCGGATGATGGCAAAGGGGACACTCTCAACCACACATACACTCACACCGCTCCTGTTGCGGGTAGGGAACTCCCGAAGACCCGAAAGCGGGGCCTATCTCAATCTCTCGATGTGCTGATGGAGGCTGTTGAAACTGCTATTCCTGAATCAGATGATGATTTCGGAGAGATTCCTCCAGAGTCTGGGTCAGGCCCTTCCGAACGAGAAGAGGTGGGAGCTCGTAACGGCGAAGTTGATGACAACGACGGACTGAAGACGCTGCAGAAAGCCTCTGGAGAGAGCAATGGCCAAAATCTAACCACAGACCACGATTACCCTCCACAGAGCCCTGCTCAGTCCCGGTTTGTTGCGGAAAAGCTGGAGGATGTGACGCAAGAACTGTTTGAACTTAGAATACAGCACGAGACCACCACCAATGAATACGATCTTCTTCATGCAAAATATGAAGAGGCCCTTCGCACCCTTGCTGAGCTTCAGGATGCCGTTGATGAGGCTCGCCATCCTGCGAATGCGGCTGCTGCTGCAACTCCGATGACCAGCTCTCGGCCAGTGTCTTTTTTAGAAGACTCGAGATTACAGGCGCTCAGGTCTGGCGGACAGCCTTCATCTTCGCGATTACTCTCCTCGGAGTTGTCCTTGGCCGAGCAGTCAGCTATTACACAGGAGCACTCAGAGAACGGGCACCAGGGCAATTCCGACCTACAAAATGCATTCGACACGGATGAGCCTAATCATACTGACGTGGAAAATATGCAGAAGTTGCTACAAGAACACCAGCACGGCATGAGCTTAGTGACGCAGAAATATGCCCAGCTCCAGTCGGAACATGAGGAGACCTTGAACCTGGTTGAAGATCTGAAACAGGAGCTCCAGCGCACAAAGTCTTCCTCGCCCACGACTCCGTCACCCAAGGCTCAGGTGATCCGACGCATGACCAGTCAGAACATGACAACCGTTGACCGCGCACATCGCTCTCTCGCGTCTCTGAGGAACATTGCCACCGAAGAATTTGAAGGCAAGCCCGATACCATGCAGACTTTCGAAGTCAGCCTCAACACTGCAATGCATGAGCTGCACATTCGCATGGAGCGAATTCAAGCTCTTGAGGCTGAGAACAAGAATGTCAAGAAGGAGATGGAGACCAAGGCAACTATTATTTCCGGTCTGACCAGGGAACGATCTAGTCTTTCCGGTTCGTCGCCGATGGATATCTCTGTAGTCTCACAGATGCGGGATCAGATCCTGCAGCATGAGAACCAAATCAAGGAGATGCAGGAAGCGCATGATGCCCGGGAGAAGGAATTGACAGCTAAAGTTCAAAGTTTGAACGAGTTGTTGGGGACACAGAAGGCTCTAGTGTTTGAGAAAGATGAACAGATTATTGCTCAGAATCAAAAGATTGTACAACTTGAGGAAGCAAACTCCGATTGGGAAATCAAACACCAAGGCGTCTTCGAGTCTTTGCAATCGTCTGAAAATAAACTTCAAGCCACCCTTGTTGAACTGCAAGCTGCGCTGGCGGAGCGAGCGGAATGGCAGAGCAAACACCGTACCGCGGCTGAATCTCTCCAATCTTCTGAAAAGCAGCTACAAAACACAATGGTCGAGTTGGAAGCTGCTCTCGCTAATATTGACGCCCTGCGAAGTGAGCGCAACGAAGTCGAGGGAGCCAGTGCGGATGAAATGGCTGCAGCTGCGAAAAGCCTTGAGACTGCCCGGGTTAAAAATCAAGAGCTTGTGGACGGTCTTAAGTTTAATATTGAAGAGCAGAAAAGCACAATTTCTACTCACTTGTCCACCATCTCCGGATTGGAATCGTCTCTCGCCGCCGCCAAGGAGGAGATTTCTCAACATGAGAACGACGGCCGTTCAAGCAATAGTGAATTGGAGTCATACCGTGCTCGCGTTGCTGCTTTAGAGCAAGAGATCGAATCCCACAAAGCTACCGTTGAGGCGCAGAAAGCGGAACTTATGTCCCTACAAGAGGCACACAAGCAAGAGCTGGAGGAGCTAGAGGTCAAGGTCAAGGCTGCTGCTGAGGCACAACATGAATCACGAATGGCGGAGGAGAACGTTCGCAATGAGCAGGCTGTTAGCGCTCTACGAGCGGAAATCTCTGCATCCAAAAACGAACTGGCGAAATTGTTGTCTGGTGTCACTGCAGCTTTGAATGCTCCTGTCACCGTCAATAGTCTCCAGGAGCAAATTGAAGACCTCCTTTCTCAGAAACAGCAATTCGCTGAGAAATACTCTGCACTGTTCGATACCAATGAAGATCTCGTGAAAGAATTGGAGACGAAGACAAGCAGCCATGCCAAACTCGAGAGACAATTCACCGACCTGACGGAGAAGTCCAGTCGACACGAAGCCAAGATGACGGAGCTTGCTCATCTCGTTGCTAGCCATGAGGATGCTCTCAAGGAGAAAGAGGATCTCATCAAGAAAAAGGACGCGATTATCAATGAGATCACCGTTGAGAAACAGAAGAGTGCCCGCCTCGTGGAGGAGCTGGAGGAGCAGATTACAAATACCTTCGATCAACATCATAACCGCCTTTCTGTGATTCAACAAGAGAGACACCAAGCGCTTGATGAGGCGAATCTCAAGATTGGGAATTTGGAGAAAGAGATCGAGAGTTATCGGATTCGTATTGAGCAACTGGAAGTAAGTTGAATTGTTTTTTTTTTTTTTTTTTTCACTTGATTTTGGGCTTCTTCCTTACTAACAGTAAAGAACCAGGGTCAAATGCGGAACGGTGATGCACCGTCATCGATCGATCGCACTGGCTCCATGACGTCGAACCTCCGAAAGAGTGCATCAGCAGCATCACTACCGTCGCCTCCGCCGGCCATTCCTCTCCCCCCTCTTCCAAACATCGCCGCGCAGACTGGAAGCATATCCCCACCCAGCTCACGACATACCAGCAAGGAACTCGTCAATGCCCAGCTCGTTGAAGACCAGGAAGCGCGCATCCGCACGATCGAGAAGCACCTACACGCCGAGAAACAACTAACTGCCACTCTCGAGGAAGCACTGGGCGATCTCGAGGCTCAGAGCAACAAAGTGAAGACGGAGATGGAGGCGTGGAAGAAGAAGGCATGGCAGTACGAGGACGAGCTGACGCAGTTACGGTCTGAACGGAATTCAACGAGATTGTCCATCCAGGCAGTAGAGGAGGAACGGAATGCACGGCGGGAGGCGGAGGCTGCGCGGGCGCATTTGGAGGAGAAGATGAATGCGATTAGTAAGAAAAAGAAGAAGAGTACGCTGAACTGTTTTTAGCAGGTTCTTCTTCCTTCACACCCCTTTATGTGGTTGTTATTGTGAATTTTTCATTTCATTTCATTTTTTGTTTTCCGTACCGTCTCTGTTCATTTCCGTCCTGTCCCTTTGGATATATAATATCTCCTTGCTCGTGCTTGTGCTTTGCGTGTTTCTGTTTTAAAACTAAATTGACATGATGCTCCTAATTATTTATTACCCAACACCCTTCATACCCCATACCTATGCCCATGCCCACGCCCACGCCCAATATTTTATTACTAGTTTTATCTTCCTTTCCTTTTTTTTTTTTTTTTCGCTTCTTGACGATGTCATTTATGACCCAGATATTCTTTTTATTTTCTTTTCTCCCTTGCTCCCAATCCCAAAGCTCCCAACACTCTTCTTCCATTGATTGTTAATTATATATCCCTCTCCGTACATGCTACATGCCGCCTTTTACATTTTATTTTGTATTGTTTCATCTGTTAGTCTGCTTTGTTGTTTTGTTTTGTCTTCTTTCGATATCTTATCTCCTGATACTTCTTTTATACCTTCTTCCTCTTGTATTTCTTCCACTTGGACTGCCTCACCTTCACCTCACCAGGACCTAAGATGAGAGAGATAGATTCATTTCATTCTGTCACCTTTTGCACTCTACTCTACTTCGTTCAAAGTCTAAACTTGTACCCCATTCTACCGACCAGCAGGGGTGATTCGCCCTATACCGCTTACCAGGTACTATGCGGCTCTCATGTGTTTTTGTTTGTGAAAAACCGCTCACTATCATGTCATTGCCTTGACTTCAATATTAGAATGGTTTGGCCCCCATTTTTAAGTGTGTGTGGGTGTGTAGCTGTTAGTTTCAACATTGCTAAGCTGCTTTTCAACCCCTCGCCCCTGTAAACGTAAACTTGCTCTTACATGACTTGACCGATTTCATTGATTTGATTAGAGTTTATTAAATTTAATTCGTCTTTGAAATGTCCTTTTTTGGACCCTCATCTTTGCTCTTCTTGCCTGTTCTCTTCCTCCTCTCAGTTTATTGTTACGTAGCTTTGCAAGTGTAAGTATTGAATATGTCCCATCAGGATACTATCAGAAGCCGGCTAGCAAATCGTCTATTATTACCATTTGGAAAAGTAAAAATAAAGATAAATAGAAAATAAATAAATAAAGGGTATACTGATTCATTCTTATCTATTTGTAGGTCACATGAGCTATACTCGGAGCTATGACCACCATGTTGGCTGGTTTGCCACGGAAGCTTCTCTCTATCCTTAATGAAATTCTCCAATTATATAATTCCTTCCATATTTTCTACAGAACCAAAAAAAAAAAAAAAAAAAACGGACCATCCCAATTCCAATCCGAATCAAATCCAACTCAGATGTCAAAACACGTACCTCGCAAAAAACGCAGAACAATAACCATCCTCCACCCAGACCTAGGGATCGGCGGCGCAGAGCGCCTCATCCTCGACATTGCGCTGGCTCTGCAAGCGCGCGGACACAAAGTGAAAATCTATACGTCGCACCGGGACCGTAGCCACTGCTTCGAGGAGGCGCGCGATGGCACGCTGGACGTGACTGTGCGCGGAAACACTGTGTTCCCAGATCAGATTGCGGGGCGGTTTCGGGTGTTGTTTGCTGTGTTGAGGCAGGTGCATTTAGTGGTGTGGTTGTTAATGGCGCGGGAGCGGGGACGGGAGGGAGATGCGGTTGATAGGCGGGACAGAAATGAAGTGGGGGATGACGACGACGACGAGAAGGAGGAGGAGGAGGATGTATATATCGTCGACCAGGTACCTGCGTGTGTACCTATTCTGAAGACCTTTGGACGACTGTTTTCTAAAGCGAGAGGGAAGCAACGCATCCTCTTTTACTGTCATTTCCCGGATCAATTGCTCGTTAAGCGTGATGAGGGTGGAGTTATGCGGCAGCTGATTAAGGCGTGCTATCGATATCCATTCGATTGGTTTGAAGGGTGGGCGATCAGTGCTGCGGATAAGGTTGTGGCTAATTCGAAATTTACGTGCGGGGTTATCAGGCAGGTTTTCGGAAATAGGTTTGGGGATGTTCGGGTCGTTTATCCGTGCGTTGATACGGGGATTAAGGATCTTAGAAAACTAGTTGAGGGGAAAAGCCTTTGGGGTGGGAAGAAGATTCTGCTGAGTATTAATCGGTTTGAGAGGAAGAAGGATATCGGACTTGCGATTCGGGCTTATCATGGTCTTGGGGAAGAAGGGAGGCATGGGACACGGTTGGTCATTGCTGGTAAGTTACTGTCTTCTTTTTATTATTAATAGCTGTCTATGATTCTATAGTGGCCGCTTACTTCTATTATGTATAGGTGGGTACGATAACCGCGTACAAGAAAATGTCCAATATCATACAGAGCTGGACGATCTAGCCATTGGCCTGAGCCTAAGAACTGCCACATCAAAAACAGTTATATCTGCCCTGTCCATCCCCGATTCGATAGAGGTCCTCTTCCTGCTCTCGGTGCCGTCCGCATTTAAACAAACTCTACTTTCAGCAGCAACGCTTCTCATCTATACGCCATCATATGAGCATTTTGGCATAGTTCCTGTCGAGGCGATGCGTGTAGGTCTCCCAGTTCTAGCCGTAAACAACGGGGGACCATTAGAAACAATTATAGAGGGGAAAACTGGTTGGCTGAGAGGGGCAAACGCTATCGAAGAGTGGACAGCAGTGATGCGCAAAGCGCTCTGGGAAATAGATGCGCACGAAGCCGCGGTAATAGGCGCCAATGGCAAAGAAAGAGTGGAAAAGGAATTCTCGCTACAGGCCATGGGAGACCGACTGGAAGCGGAAATTGAAGATATGTTTGACAAGGATGCTCGTCCGTTCCTTGGGATGTGGCGTGTATTCTTATTTGGGGTCGCAATTCTCGGGTTGGAAATTGCTGTGCTGGTCGCGGCGTTCACAAAATTGCGAATAAAATGAGAGGAATTGCCCCTCGAAATCGACAATCCCCTTCCATCGAGCAAAGGCGAGAAGTGATTTATCCGCTCCAAAAGTCCCTCCTGCTTTTAGGCAAAAGATGACCTATTTGATACATACCTACGAACAACGGGTGGTGGCATCTACATGGACTCCTTAAACCTGGGTTTTTGCAACTTCATTGTTACGACGTCTCTGATTTGTTCAGGATCTATTCCTATGGCACCTGCCGCGAGAATCACCAGTGGATTAAGTTTTACAATCATGTCTGTGGTCCTTATATATCACAGTAAATAGCACAAGGCAATGTTGATACCAGTCTTGTGTTCGCAATATGTAGCAGAAGGAGATATTCAATGTATTGAACCCAGTTCCTTTGTCTGCACTTTGTTGTGAAGAATCGGGTCAAATGCTTGCTGGTCCACGATGACGAATATATTAGTTCCAAGCAAGATACACGCAGGGCTAGCTGTTCAAGAATTCTCATTCGGCTTGGCAAGCAACGTGAGTATCAATGCCTAGTTTCATATCTCCATACCACATAATATTTTCAAGGCTCGATCCTCTTAACGACGTATTTGCTTATCGCGGAATTTGAACTTGAACGTGGATGGGTTCTTGGTTGATCGAAGCTATGCGACAAGCAACCCATTATGCCCGCATCGGTTTTACCCTTCAATGTAAGAATGAATTGCGAACACTAACATCGAACAGCAGTGATATGAGATATACATATGCAGAATTAAAGCATTGGATTATCTCAGCAAGCTCAGCCGCTTCGCAGGATAACTAGATAATGTGGGATGGTTGATCTTCTCATTGTGCGATCGCTAGCTAACTACTGTATATATAGGGAGGGCCGCCTGGGCAACTAGTGCCCAACACCCCCCCACGCGCCAACGTGCATGATGTGTTCGTATGAATCTTCTATGCTAGCTATCTCAACTTGGATCATCCCAAAATCATGCTACATACAGAAATTTAATCATTCTCACTGTTACCAGCGAAAAGTCCTAGTAAATCAATGAAACGCCTAAATGCCACTGTGCCCAGAGGTTTGGTTAATCCGTCTGCTACCATATCCTCAGTGGGAACGTGTTTAATAGAAATAACGCCTTCGTTCAATTGCGTGCGAGAATAGTGGAAGCGAGTGTCGATATGCTTGCTGCGTGCCGTGATCGCGGCAACGGTAGCTAGGTCGATTGAACCTTTGTTATCTGCCCTGATAGGCAAGGGGTCCTTTGCTGTAACGAATCCTAGTTCCATCATCATATTGCGCAACCACGTTGCTTCGCGTACTGCTTCGCTAAGTGCCACGTATTCTGCCTCATTTGAACTTAAAGAAACACAAGGTTGTTTGGACGAACGCCATGAAATTGGTGCACCTGCTAACTTGAATATGAAGCCTGAAGTAGATTTGCGTTCGCCGTTCAACGGTCCTGCCCAATCCGAATCTGTATAACCTATCGGCAGATATGACGCGTTGGGGAATTCATCGATCTCGTTCTTGGGGCCTTCGTATAAGATGCCAAGGTCGCTCGTTCCTTTTAGATATTGTATGACGCGGAGGAGAGCCCTTCATATCTTAGATGTAGATGCAGTATTCTTCTGTGTTAATAGAAATGCTGCTCATGCAATATCTGGGTGTAATTTGACTATCAGATACTTATTATTATTATTATTCTTCCGTTATACTCGTATGCAAGCAGTGCTTATGACGAGTCCTTGTGTAATGTTAAATACAGGCAAGAGTTGGTTATACAGGAGGAATGCTTAGTGTTGAATGACGCCAAGAATATAACAGGAACATAGGAAAATTAATGAAAGTCAGGGATTTGGTACTCGCGATACAGGTTTCCAGCCCAGAAACAATAAGCTAAATCAGGTAGTAGGTCCGCCCGAAGGTACCTACTTGGCAGGTTCACATTCCTTTATTTTAGGAGCTGAGAAGTTGGCTCCGGATGCAATGTTGTCCCCTTGTGGGTTTCGAACCCACGCGCCTTGGGTCCCCACGCCAAGGCGCTACCGGGTGGCCGCATTACCCAAGCAGGGTCTTGTCAACATCTTCTGTATAATATACTTGGATGACATCCTAATCTTCTTGAAAATGGAAAAAGAACATGATACCCATGTTCAGAAGATGTTGAATTGCTTGAAACAACATCAACTCTATACAAACATTGAAAAACGCTCATTCTACACACAGGAGATTGATTTCTTAGATTATATTGTTGAGATTGATGGCATTTAAATGGACAGAAGCTGAGTCTTCATCATCAAAAACTGGTTGATGCTGTGTATGTACTATAAGATGCAGATATTTCTAGAGTTTGTGAATTTTTATAGACAGTTCATCTATATATATTCACAGATTGCTGCCCCCCTTACAGATTTGTTAAAGAGAAGTGTTAAAGACAGAAAAACAGAACTGTTTATTCTTACTCAAGACATTATGAGAGTGTTTAAAGAATTGAAGCAAGCTTTTACAGATGTCATGATGTTAAATCACTTCAACGCCGGCCTACTACTAGTGCTAGTGTGAAACTGATGCATCTGAGAATAGTGTCTGCGGAATCTTGTG